ATTAACTATGGTGAATGGATTTCATTTACATATATATGTTTTATATATATACATGCATAAGTATATAAAAACAAACAAAACTACATGCATATAAGTATAAAAAACTTGCAGCCATATATATTATATGTCCATGCATACATACATATTTATGACTATTCGTTTATGCCAGAGCTTGAAGGCTTCTTGCTTTTTTGAAGAGATTAAACAATGCGCTGCAAGTCGATTTGAAACAAAAAAAACAAACAACAACAAAAAAGAAAATATTTACCACTACGCGCTTAGATTATGCATGTTTATGAATAAATGTCAGCATATGTAAGTATGTGTCTGTGTATTTTGTTTTTGCAACTAATGCAATCTCGCGCTTTAGCTTTTGCTACGAGTTTATACGCTGCCATTTGGTAAAAACTCGAAACTCGAAAGTGATCGCGCTGGTGTGGAAAATGTTGAATTTCGTGTGCGGCGGAAAAAGTCATTGAAGTGGTCGCTCGTCTGTAAGTCGTCGTCGTCGTCGTCGTCGTCGTCGGTTGCTTAGTTGGTCGCTTGGCTGGCTGGCTGATCGTTGGACGAGTTAAAATACAAAAAGCAATAAAAAACACATTAAAAAAGCAACTATATGTAGCAACAACAACAACAACAATAACAAAAAACGCGGCTGCTGTTTGCTTAGTTGTTGGCTTGCAGCGTTTTCACTCCAACACATTGCCATTATCTCTCACGCATACACATATTTTTTAGGTCAGTAAGAAGCTTTATAAAGTTTCATAAACTGGCAGCTCTACATATAGCAAGCAACAAAACGGCTAAACAACAACTAACGCTGGAGCTTTTTGTGAAAGGGAGTGTATTTTGTATGCTTGACTGTGTGTTCATGTGAATGTCTGTATGTTGGTTTGTATGTATGTATGGTTGTATATGGATTGTACAAGGAGAAATATATTGAAAAATTACTATGATTTTCATTTCCCCTTTTGTTTATTGAAACTCTAATGCACGTTTTTTTCTAAACAATTTAATGCTTTTATGTATATATATGTGTGTGTGTATATGCCCCATACAACTGTAACGCAGTTACGTGTATACGTACATACATATGTATGTACATACTTATCTACGTGTTAATTTGTATTTATGCTACGCACTTACCTTAGCTAACTTTTAATTCATTTGGCATTTTTGTTTTTCAAACAACACCAATAGCAACATTTATACTGAAAATGAGCATAGTGCATACTACAAGTATTTCATTATTATATCTACTTGCTGAAATGCGCCAAGCAAAAGTATTTTTCTTAACTTTTAATATGTAATTATGTATTATATACACATGTACATTTGTATACGTATATACATACATACATATGTACATATGTCTATCTGCATGTCTAATTGTATGCATGTGTGTGTGTTTGAAATGGCACGGAAAAGGTGAATTCTGCATGTTGGCGCATATCACACGACCACTCCACTCTCCACACCAGTCTATACAACTTTATTTCATGCTTTTTGTAGATACATATGTTTGTATGTATCTATGCGTGTATGTAGATAGCAGTAAGCGTAAGCGAATTTTTGTGAAAGGTATATTTCTTTATAGCGTCATATCTACTTACTACTTGTACTGTATTATATAGGTGAATGTTGTTACATACTTACATACATATGTACATACATATAGATAAACCATATGTATGTATGTATGTATATTCGAAAATATGTTGAGGGCTATATAATTGAGATTAGCTTTCTGTCGTGTGAATGAAAAATGTAAAGAATAGTTTTAATAATTTAATTTAAAAATAAATATTTTTTTTTTTTAAATTTCTGCTTACCACAAAACATGATAAAATAAAAATCTAAATAGCAATTTGAAAAACTGCTGTAAGAATATATGTACATAGTACATATATATGTATGTTTTGTATACTTTTTAGGCGAAAGTCAAATAAGAATTTAATTCGAGTGTTTGAAAATTTTAAATTAAAAAAAATTTTTTTTTTTTCATATTTCAATACGTTATGCTTATAAAAATAACAGTTTTAAATTTTAAATCGATATCAGTTATTAGTTTTTGCGTTACAGCCTTTTAAAGTGTAGCCGCTCACTTCAATCACCTCCATCCGTGTATCTTTAAAAGCGTTTTTTTTCGAAATCATATTTTTCAAATCAACTTAAGTGATTACACGGAGAAATAAATCCGATATATTGCTTGATTACTCGGAGACAAATGATCCGATCACCATCAAATTAGATGTTCTATATATAGTTCTCCATACAATGACCAAATTACCAGTTATTTAATTTGACCAAAAATCGAATTTTGGCAGGCCAAAAACGACCATAACTTTAGGTGAAATTAAACTTTATATAAATTAAAACAATTTCACCGTTTTATAGGCTGTCACACTAGGTCTGTCCCTTAAGCATGAAAGCTCCATATTTTATATAGACTAGACTGATGCAATCTCCATATAAGACTTTAAAAAAATTTCGTACTTTTAAGTAACTCACTTTTTCTGTTGCTTATATTCCAGTTAGTTTACTTACATACATATATGGTTTTTATTATTTTGTTTTCAAAACTGTATGTATGATATGTATATTCCACTAATATCAAGTATAATGAGTATTTTTATTCAGTTTTGTCGAAAAACGACTCCTTGTTGTTTTAAGAAGTTCTGCTCAGAATTAGCCACAAGTCGTTGACATTGGCAAGGAGTTGCTGTACTATGTTAATGGAAAGCACCATTTCATTTATTTTACTTTTTTTAATATTTGTTTTTATAAAACAAGTACCATGCTTTCTCTAGCCAATGGTAGGGCAAGAGATCGATCTAAATTTGGACTCTTTTCTCATCAAGTGTAACGTAACCATAACCTAACTTCTTTGATCTAGCTGTAACTTCTATTTTTTTCTCCTCGAGATCAGTAATCATAACCTAACCAAACTTAAAAGTTATAATAAATCTTTGAATGACAACTTACATTCATACCATATTAGTATACATACTTACGCTTTTTTTAAATAATTATTTTCGTATTTTCATCTTCAAAAATTAGACAAAATCTCATATCTGCATCTTAATTTCTTATAGTTTATAGCATTGCTGTTATTAATAATATAACTGAAAGCTAGCTCCGCATTCGAGTTGAAGAGTTACCGCCACACCTAGCGTAGAATATTTACACAAATCTACAAACAGTTACGACATATGAATATACAGGTGTGTAGAAAGCTTTTTTTCACAAGGGGTTATGGACATGATACACAAGTTGTATTCTCTTTTAAATATTGAAATCATTTTTAAATATTGAAAAAATATCCTGTCTGCAATTTTTAACGAATTTGTGTAAAAGTTTGATATTGTTCACATATTCATTAATAATTTAAATTTATTAAACTCAAAAGCAGTAATTTAAGTTTAAAAAACGCGCGAATAACTGTATGGTTTTCGTTAAAAAATTCAATGTCCCCGAAAAGCTAGAATAATATTCCAAAAATTATCGTATGTTCGAAATCTTACAATTAGTAGCTTGCTTAGGAAACCTAAAATCAAAAATTAGTGAATTTAAAAACTATTACAACTTATTACGGATTTTATTCGTCGTACACCAAACTATTAATTGATAAATATTTTTATATGGATTATAATTAATAGAATGATCGCATCGGAAAGTGAAAGAGCGAAACTTTCATATTTATACTCTTAAGAGGCATTCTCATTGTGACAGACTAATAAAGTAGTTTTTTAGAATTAAAAAAAACACTACTGTATTAAAATTTTCAAAGTATATTTATACATACATATTTTAAGAATACACAGTAAAATATTTGGAGTAAAAAATTAAATATCTTACGAGTTACACGCGATCTCCGACGGCGCCCAAAAAGATCTTTCGCAGCTGCAGTGATTCCGGCCTTCTGAAAACTAAAAAAATTATCGCTAAAAGATATTTATGTACAATAACATACGGTCGAAAAAATCGCAAATTGACAAAATGGCGGCGATTTTAAAAAAAGTTGAATTTGACCCAAACATTTGATCGATTTCTGATCTGATAAAAAAAAACTGGTAGGTCATTATATGGAGAGCTTTATACGGAGCATGCAAAAAATTTGATAGTGATCGGATTATTTATCTCCGAGTAATCATTTTCCGAAACTTTCATGCAATAATTTAATTCTGAGAAGTTTTCATGACAGCGCCTGAGCGCCAATTAAAGCGCTTGCAACGCCTACTGTCTATGCCACTGCCACAGACCTACATACAAATGTAGACTCCTTTCTCAATTATGTACATATGTATATCTAAAAAGCTAATTCATATTAGAATTCATACAAATTTAATGTTGTGCAATAGCAATAACAATAACAAAAAAACTGTTAAAAACAACAGCGCTCAAGCGACATATGAGCATATGCGCGCATGTGTGTGTATGTGTTGTGTTTAATACACACATTGGTTGGCCTATAGTGCCGATATGAATATCTTTTTGTAAGTTCACGCACACAGCTATACAAACATATATGCTTACATATGCATGTATATATAGCTGTGTATGTATTTCATATGCACCGTCATGTAATTGTATGCATGGTATAAGCTTACATGTGTATGTATGTATTTGTACGATTGCACAAACCTCCGTCTGTATGTATGTATAGATATATATATATATATATGTGTGATTAATTTGAAAATGCCGTTGTATGCATGCAGTTTTTCAACTAAACTAAACTTGCTGAAAAAGTCTTAAGCTCACAGCAACTGCTCAACAAGCCGAACTTACACTTTGTACACGGCTTTTAACGCTTTTTGGAACGTCAAAAGTTTTTCTAGCGAACGGACGGCCACCGACTGTGTTATGTGTGAAGGAAAAGATTCGAATAGTCAGAGTCAGCCAGCGCGCAGTTTTTTCATATGAACATTTGTATGCAAGCGCTCATATGGGCGCGCTAGTGTAAGAGCGCGTGTGTGTATGTATAAAAGTATGCACGAGTAAGTCTGAAATTTCCAAATTATATAAAACTTTCATGCTGCATTGTTCGATATTTTTATATGTAGTTATGTATGTATGTATGTTTCTACTATTTGTATATGCGTATATGTACATACATATGTACGAGCTTATAAAGCGCTTATACCAATATAACTGCGAATTCAAAAAAATATACATATCTACATACATACATATACTTTCATATATATGTATACTATACAAGTGTGTCTGTCCGTTTGTATATATTTTATAAAGTTAAAAAGCCTTCACTACTTTAACCACAACAATAGCAACAACACAGCAACAACAAAGTAATAGCGCAACTTTTTACGTAGCATGTTTGTTTGTCTGTCTGTCGGTTTGTATGGACACCGTTCTCCACACAGCTTGTGATCGTGGAACCTCGCTCGTCGTGTGCCGTAGCTACACACTTACTGTTGCTGAACCAGTCAACCAGCCAGCCATCAGCAGCCTCAGCAGCAACAGCAAGTCAGTCAGTCAGTAAAGCCAATACGTATTACCTACTAGGTAGAAAGTATAACAGCCAATGGCAATTTGCCTTAGTTGGAAAGTGCCATAAACGACGTTGGAAAAAAAATCACACTTCATTAATGTAGAATGTTGGTGTGTTCAAGGTCGCAAATGTTGGATCACTTCTTTTCATCAATGTTAATGATGATGATTGCTAAATCACGGAGAGAGCTACAATCGCGCAAGCACAAGCACATTCACAGACGATGACAGACTTGCTGCAAACACAGACAAATATACACACACCTATATATATATATATACATTCACACGTTTGTATGCATGTACTATGTATATTGTGGCAATGAGAGAGTTGTGTATGCAAGAAATTTCCATATATTCAGTTTTGAAATGTCAGTATCAAGTGAAGGGTTCAAGCAGTAGAGAGTTAAAAGTAGAAAGGCTAGGAAGTAAGAAAAAAAACGTGGAAAAATCTTAGTGAATGTACAAATACTGGTTTCTTATTGTGCAAATACAGTAAATAATAAATTAGTTTTAGTTAAGAAAAATTACAAAAAACGAGCAACATTTGCATATTCATAATACACTGCTAAAATAAAAGTGTATGTATGTACGTACATACATGGATTACGAATGCGAATAGTTTCTGAATTGTGTGTAGTTTGCGCATGCGTGCGGATTGGAAAAGCGGATGCTTAGTGTGTATATTTTTCAAATTAAAAAATTGCAAAGCGGTATTTTATATAGAAAGCTGTAAAAATTACTAAAATTAATTTCAACAAATGTATGTGTAACGTATTTGTGCAAAAGAACACTGAAAGTAAATTTATTTATATAAAATTGTGCTGAAGATAAAAGCTATTTATTGCTAATTTTAATTAAAAAAATAGTTTATATACATTATAAATTATATATTTTTTTAAATTAGTATTTTTGTTCTTAATTATAATTTTTCTTTTTTTTTATACATATACATATATATGTATATATAAATCTAAAATTGTGCTGGCCGTGACAGCTATTTGTTACTATTTTTTACAATAATAATAATTACAAAAACATAATTTTTAAAATTGTTTGCTTATTTTTATTAATTTTTGTAATTAAGTTAGTAATTTCTTTTCTTATAAAAAATTCAATGATAGCAAATAACCTTGGCTAACACTATAACAATATAACAACTAAAAAAAATAGCATAAGTCGGTGACTAACCTAAAAAACGTAAAAATTTGTGCCGTTCAAATGCCTAGTACTTAATAAGCTCCATATTTTTTGCAAAAACATTGATTTTTTGTGCTTTTTGTGTCTTTTAAAGTTTCCTAGAATGCTGATGTTGCAGTACAGCAAGCATGGAGAGTGTATACTCAAAGAAATTGGAGCCGCATTCCGTGGAGAACACCCAGCCGATCTGACAATAGTTTGTGAAAACAGAGTTAAACTCCATGCACATAAACTCGTATTGGCTGCTGCAAGCCCACTCATAAGGTAAAAAACAGTTATGCAAGCATGTGCGCATGTTATGATTTGAAGAGATAGAGCATTAAGCTTGAAATAAGCACTTGTAAAATCAGCAATTTTAATGAATAAAAAATAAAATGGATTGACTTGCATTCAAGGTAGCGCATTTTTTAACTCAAACTAAAATTTTAATTTAATTTTTAATCCAAGATGTTTGGGATATTATTTTTTGACTTGAATGAACGCAAAAAAATGTTAATTCTAAAACAAACTCTTATTTTTGATTCTAAATTATATGCTTGAGATTAACATTTTTCTTTTTCATCAATCCGGTAGTTGGAATTAAAAATTAAAAATAAATTTTAAATCCGGTTTTTGGGTTTACAAAAAAAAAAAAAAATAAATTCAAATGTTAATTAAATTTTTTTTTAATACATTATTTGCAACCCTGTTTGCAATGGAAAAATGCAGTTTTCAAAAAAAAGATAATAAAAAAAATAAACCAAAAATTAATATTATTGTAAAACAAATTTTTTTTTTAGTTTTTAATAAAAAACCGATACTTTTGAATGGTGAACTTAGGATGAAATTAGACTTAACATTTTATAATGTTAAAAAACATGACTAAAAGCTTCTGAGTATAAGTCTATTTTTTAGTAAAATCAATATATAATATATCTAATAAAATATATAGAAAAAAATTAATTAATATAAAAATTAAAATATCATATATTAAAGTTCAAAAATATTACTTATATATGTATGTATATATATAGATATATATTTTTTAAGTTTAATATAAAAATATTCTAATACTCAAATTTTTAGTATAAAAACTAAAAATAGCTAAAATAGTTTTTCTTTAGGAAAGACTAATTATAGCATAGACATTTATATGTTTTGAATTCTTAATTCACCAACTATTTAATTAGAAATTTCGGTTGGAATTTTTAATAAGAATTAAAATATTTAAATAATTTCTTTTCGGGTATTTGTCAGGTGTCAGTTTCTGATATAAATATCAATGTATTTTACAAGTTAATCTAGCTTAGTACGATTAAAGTCATAAAGATAAACTTGTGTTTTAACTTAGAATCGGATACTGCAACATATTGCAAAATATAGATAAAACAATGCCATATTTTTACTAAACAACAAAACTGTATCTAGAGTCTAAGTGGACTTAAGCTATTTTATTATTTTCATATATACATACATATTTACATATATTTAAATAAAAAAAATATCCTGTCTACAAAATTTCTAATTTTTTCCGACATTTGCAAATTGAAAAAAAAATTTTTGAGTTAATTTTTAAAAAATATTAGAATGCAGTAGAAATAAACATGACACAGTTTCATATCTTTTCAAGGCCCTTCTTATTTTTATAATATATTTTATATGCAAAACATTATTCCTTGATATTTCATTTCAACCTGTTGTGAAAACATAATCTTGGCAACTGTGTCACCGAAAATTTCGAAAAATACTAAACTAAACGTTTGACGTTTTCTAGAACTCTGCACACATATAGATTATACATATGTTAACTATATAGATTGTATATATAAATAAACAGACGTTTTATTTTAAGTAGGTAGTAGTTCAACTTTCTATTGCAGCAATATTTATATGTTAATTATTTTTTAACTTAATAAGTTTAAAGTTACGAAAAAAAGTTAAATTTGATATACTTTGACTACTGAGTTTTAGAAAAAATAATGAATAATATTTATATAGGAAAATAATTAATCTATTTATATAAAAAATATAAAATTTTCAACTACAACCTTGAATTTTTAACCTGAGGGTAGCAGTTGTGTAAAGGACAAATGACAATGATTATATAGGAAGTTATTAAAAAAAAAACAATAATTGCAAATAAAATATAAATTAATAACAATTTAAGTATAACTAATTTTAAGAAATTAATAAAGAGTAAAATAGTTATTTAATTATAATTCTAAATCTCTAAATTCCTCTATGTATATTATTGAAAAGTTAATTAGAACAAAATTTAAGAAATTAAAAAAGTAATAGAATAATTCAAAATAATTACTTAATAATAATTCTTATGATAAATATTAAAAAATTATGTCCCATTGAAACAAAAAAACAAAATATTAATAAATAAAACAAATAAACTTAAAAGAGTTAAAATATTTACTAACAGCATTAAATTGATTAATATTTATTTTTGTTTCTGCAACAGAACTCTATTGGAGGACACGCAACTTTCCGACTGCGCGACCACAGTTTATTTCCCAGATGTGAATGCTACATATTTTAAATTCCTTCTGGATTTTTTATATTCCGGACAAACTTGCATAACATCGCGAGATGTTAATTATTTACATGATCTATTGTTGTTGTTGCAAATTAAATCCGACAATTGGAAGACTACTGACTCAGCAATACTAAGCAGTAAATGCAGTAATTTGCGTGAACGCTTGAATAGCGACTCCAATGGCAATGGAAATAGCAAACCACATATGTATTGTTCAACAAAGCTAGAGCATTCCTATAGCCCCGATTTAGATGGTAGTGATGATATAAAAAAATGCTCGGATGGTTCCAAGGATTCCGATACCATAAAGGAAGATCCGGGCAGCCCTAAGTGTTCATTAGATGATAATATAAATAAAGATTTAAAAGAGGTTAGTAGCCCCACGACCAGTGAGCAAGATGCATTCACAGATGCCCAGCTCAATACAGCCAATAAGAATATACCTTCATTAAATCCAGTTAATTTATCATTGGATTTACGATGTAAACATGAAAGTAGTACAAGAAAATTATCATATACGGACAAAAATATTTTCAATACGGATAGCTCATCGTTTAACGGCACGGAAAGTATAAAACGTAAAGGATTTTTCTTTGATTCCGACAAAGATGTGGCCAAATCTCTACACGATCCAGATTTGAATAATTCACCAGAAAATTATGTTGTAACACCGCATCGAAAACGAAGACCGGGCTTTCATCATTCCTCCAGTCATAATCAACCGTTTGCATCGTCATATCAGCATACATTAATTGATGAATTACGTTCCGCGAAAACAGATTCATCGCCAATATCATCGTACATGTCCGATCGTAAATTGTTATCACCACTCGAGGAAGGACTCTTAGGCAGCTCAGAGGTATTGCCTAAAAATCGTAAATTCATTGAAAATCAAAGAGCCCGACCACAAAGCCCCGACGCCGCACTACACATCCCTCCACAATTCGCTTACCAATGGCAAACGACACAAAATCCTGCCATATCCAACTTTTCAAAACTACAATCCGGTCTCGGCAGCATACCACAAATAGGCGTCGGCGGTGGCGGTGGCGGTGGCAGTAGCGGAGGCGGTGGCATAGCCGGTGGCGGCAATGCCGTTGATGCTGGCAATCATGATACCCCAGGTAGTGTTCGAGATCCCCCATCCAATAATTCAAATATATGCGGCACACATAATACAGCACGCGAATATCGTTGCGAATACTGTGGCAAACAGTTCGGTATGTCATGGAATTTGAAAACACATTTACGCGTACATACGGGCGAAAAGCCGTTCGCTTGCCGCTTATGTGTCGCTATGTTCAAGCAGAAGGCCCATCTATTGAAACATTTGTGTTCGGTTCATCGAAATGTAATAACGACGACAAATGGTGCTGAGACCGAGAATCGATTCAGTTGCTGTTTTTGTTCCATGTATTTCGAATCAGTACAAGAGTTAGTGAGGCATTTATCGGGACACCACAATAATTTGCTGCTAACGAAAAATTTACGCGAATAAAGAATGCAAGCAAAGCTTAAATTATTTTTAATAAATTTACATGCATACATACATACATACCTACATATTTGATTACATGAATACACACGCATACACATATACATAAAACAAAAACACACACACACATATATATATACATATACATATATATATATATATATATATATATATATACATACACATGCATACTTATAAAAGTGTAATTGTACTTTGAAGACGGAAAGTGACCTGAATTTTTACTTTGTTTGCAGAATATTTCTCATTGTCAGAACCTGCAATATTTTTTATACCCTTGGGACATATGTATAATAATTCCAATTCTCTTTTTATATACGTTTTTTTCATCACAATGAGTATTTGTAAATTTTCATTCAACTTTATAAATAATAATAAAATAAATTTTGATGTGAAAACGTCTTGTAAATATATTGTTTAATTTTACTACAAAAAAGCTGCGCGTGTTTGATTAAGGACATATGCTATAAAACTTAGACAGCGGTGAAATTTTCAGGACGTTTTTCGAAAACCTACACCGTTCTTCTTTGTAATTCATAAAAACTAGGTATCAATAACGTAGGCAAAAATCTCTATAAGTTAACCCTAGATGAATGGTTATGTTCTAATTAAGGGTTAGCTTAGTTCTACTAGCTTTGACTCCAGATTGTTCACAAGAGCAGACAAATTGTACCCTACACAACTTATCTTCTTTAAGGCAAATGTTGGGCTACAAATTATTATTAATCGCTTCTTGAGCTGCTCCCAGCATTAAGGCGCACACCTATTGTGACAGCCTAAAAAATGCGATTTTTGGGAATTAAAAAACAAAACAAAAACATAAAATACTTCATAAATTTTTTTTAAATTGTTAAGGGTGTATTTATACATATTTTAAGAATATACAGTAAAAGTTTTGAAAATTTAATATTTTTTGAGTTACACACGATTCTTTTCGGCAGTGGATGATACATCTAAAAAAAATTCTCAACTAGAAGATATTCAGGAGTGTTGCAGAATCTGATAGTTATCGGAATCAGAATTGAAACCGATAAGAAAATGTAGTAGCTGTCATGAATTCAGATATTATTGGTTTGTCGTTCGAAACAGAGATTTTATCGGTTTTGGGTATCACGGAAACCAATTTTATCGGTTTTGTTATCAGAAACAAAGCAACAAAATATTCGCTAACAGATTTGAAATGTAAGTTAAGAAAATAATTTGTATTATTGTTGCGATTTAATTTATCGTTATTTCGATAGGGTAAAATATAAGAATAAAACAAATAATGTCATAATTACTGAGTTTATGGAACAAAATCCAGATATTTTAAGAGGATTTACAAAACGTAGCAAATGTAATTTAACACCCAAATGCGTCTTTATTCTGTCGATAATTTGATATAAATCTATTAAGTAAGCATATATACAAACATACAAGTAAATGCAGGCCAAATTACACATTCGACTCCCTGTGATCTTTTAATATCTTCCTTTTAATTTTTTCGTTGTTTTTTATTCCAATAAAATAAAAGCTAAAATAGCGGAGCTCATTGTAAACTCTAGTAGAGTTCATTCAGCATTTCAAATTAATTTATCAAACGTTTCCAAATTTATTCATTTGCAAGTTTTGTCACAATGGTAAACAGCTAATTCGAATATTGGTTTTGCATATGTTCTTGGATTCCACAACACCCCTGATTGTCTATACAATAATGGTCGAAAAAAAAATTAAAATTTGACACAATGACGGCGTTTTAACATTTTTGTCGTTTATGGTCTGGTAGGTCAATTTTATGGAGAACAGAAGATGCAGAAAAAATTTTATTGCGATTGGAACATTTGTCTGCGAGTAAAATCACTCAAGCAAATTTGAAAAATGTACTTTTGAAAAATTAAATTGATCGGCTAAACTCTAGAAGACTAATTTAAAAACTATTTGAGATATCGATTTAAAATATCAGCATTTTTTAAAGGCCTCAAAAATGAAATTTTTTTTATTAAAAAGTCTTGTTTAGTCGCGATGATTACAAATCCATGAGCAAAAAGTGAAATTTAAAAAAAACTTTTTTTTAATTATAATTTTCGCCGTCTCTTTCGTTGGGGGACCTAAACTATAAATTTACTATATGTATATAAATAAGCCAACACAATTTTTTTCGATTTAGTGAACTAAAATTAACTAAAAATGTGTCTCTAAGAAGGCATTTTCCTATATTTCCCACCACTGTACTTTGGGCGTACGTGTGGTATACGTTACGTAGTACTTTCTTTCATCAAACTCATTAAACCAATCGTATTGAACTAAATCTACACCTCTAATACTGTAAAAATTTCGAACAAATATTTCGAAACATTTAAAATATCAGTTGATAACTCGTTCGCACATGCTTAAAAAACTTTATAATTAAATTGATATGTATGTATAGTTACATATGTACATATTGCACATTTAATACAAGTATTTTATATTTACGCACTTTCTAGATTACAAAAGTCGGTATTTATATATGTATGTATGTATTAGATGAAGTTTTAGCGCCCCAAATAGTTTCATTTAATTAATTGTAAAGATTTCGAACTGGACTCGGTGGCAAGTAGCGTTGACATCATGAATGGCGAGAGACATTTAGAGCTGGATGCGAAAGGGTTTTGCATTTGTTTTTGTGAAATCTCCGGTACTTTCGTGCTAATTATGTTGGCTTGACGTTCTTGTTTTCGAAATTTCGCACGTCTATTTTGGAACCAAACCTGAAAAACATTAAATAACACGAGTTGCTTTCTTATATGGAAAAAATTATATTAATATGTTATAAGTATAGTTAAGAAGGCGGTCCGATAACTACCTATTCTACAAAGCAAAGCGATGTTTCAACTTCATTAACCTGTCTGATAACCTCCTCATTTGAATAAAATTTCTGCGCGGTGCGTGACTTTTTCAAGTTTTGAAACAGCACGAAGTTGCCGAGGCCAAAACTGGAGAATACGATGAATACTAATTCGACCAATTGGGCTGTGGCGATGGCGGTGATATGAGTCGGTTCGTTGTTAGTATGAAGTGCGTGATGAAAGAGCACTTTTTCGCCAAATAAGTTTTCTTTGCAACTTACCGTCGAATCGGTCCTATAATCCGAATCGCCTGTAGAACCCTCGCAGTTTTGTCCTTTGCCAAGTTGTTTTGGCCATGTAGATCCCACCATGTAGTTCGCAGAAAACAGCGTTCATCACATTTTCAGCCAATAGGTTCGCGGATGAAGTTCACTGTTTCGACTATATTTTGGTCTCTTGTATGCAGGGTTGCAAATAATACATTAAAAAATAATTGTATTGACATTTGAACATAACATTAAATTCACAAATACGAGAATAAAAATTTTTTTTTTTAATCTCAAGAAACGGATTAAAAATTAAAAATAAAAAATAAAAATTTCAAACTTACTTAATCTATAATTAAGAATAAAAAATAATCGTTTTAGAATTAACATTTTTTCGAGTTCATTCAAATCAAAAAGTTTTGTTTTCAATTTAAAATTTTTAATCTCAAACATCCTATATTAAAAAATTAAAATTTAATTTCTAATACGCACATCGGGATTAAAACATAAAAATTTTATTATTTTTGAATTAAAAAATTCGCAACTCTGCTTGTATGTTTCCGTGATTGCAAATTGCTTCGTTGACAGTTACAAAAAAACGGCGAAACTTCTTCAGATTGCTCTTAAACAGCTTCAAATACTGCTGTGAAGTGATCTCACGGACGTGCTTACAACCAACGTAAAACTAGTTACTCCTATTTTTGATTGGGCGCCATCGAAGACCAACCAAGCATTCTTCGATTTTCTTTTCAAAAGCACGAATGTGGGCCGCTATTGCTCCTTTACCATTTGTCCAAAATTCGCGGACACGCCCACTTCCACACGCGGTCAAAACTAAACAAATTGTTCCATTCATCTAGGAGAATGTATTGCAAAATAGTAAATTTTTTTGGCAATAGCGGTATAATCTGTCAGTGGGGCTAAGTACTCAACGGGTCGCCATATTTTTAAAGCAATTTTCTTAAAATAAGAAATGATCGTTGCTAATTGGCTTCATTCTAGTTATATGAAATTGTCTATATGCTGTACCTAATTGGCTCAGAGTTGCATAACTTCAACTAAAACCTCTCATATGCGAATTTTCCAGATGACACCATCGTAGTGATGGAACACTAGCTTTGGGGAGCATTTCATGCTCTTTTTCTAAACATTATCCAAATTAAGCTCTTTTTAGAAACAGATTTGCTTAGTTTACTTGGAACGCTTGCTTTCTCAGTCTATTCAATCAGTATCGAAACAATGTAGAAACATAGCAAAGTTTGTGTGTATCACTTTTTTGGAACACTGTATAAGCATCTCCCTTTTATCATTAGATCATTATGAAAAACCTGGTACATTTGTAAGTATATTGAACTAAATAATAACAATTAAGAAAAAACAGAAATTTCGCGCTCTTCAAAAATCCATTTTCACACAGCTTGTAGTTTTACCACTCTTGGGCTTAATTACACGCTCAAAAGATGAGGAGCATGTCCAAGCACTTAACTTAATTGAAAACAAAACATTGACTTATACCACTTCTTCGCATTTTTGCACCCCTAAACAATAACTTTATTTACAGTTACAGTAAACAATTTCTATTGCCGGATTAGTTCATCTGTAATACTCCCCTATTTAATTGGTTGTGACTTGTTTTCAGATCTCGGCACGTGACTCTCAGTGTACATACACACACGCACGAATGTGTAAATTCTGACGTACTTAGATATGCATTTTCTAGACAGACATCTCGTAAGCGAAAATGAGAGATGATTTGTGAGCTTGAAAAAGTGAAAAATGATTCCATCTCATAATTAAAAAAAACAAGGAAATTCCTTTGGGATTTGACAGCAGACAACCGAAAAGCGCGGTATAACACTCTAGATGAATTTTTTTTCTTTCAAGTTTTACTGTTTAAATATACATAAATTTTAGAAAATTAAATTGTGTGTGAATAATGCAATTTTCGCAACAATTTAGCATTTTTGCCGCTTAGATAAAAAGTGATATATGTACATATGCATATTAGGGTGATAAAATATTCCGGCAATTAAAAATTTAAGGATTCAAAAGCTATGGTATTTTGAAAGAAAACAGATTATTTTTATGAGACACTTTGAATGTTCAGTGACATCTTTTAAAATTAAGCCAAACTTGTTACGTGCAAGGATATTTTTCTCGCTATATCAATTCATTTTAACACATGAATTCGGATCTTTAGCTTTGGACTCACCCTAATTAAGTGCACTCGTATATAATTTGATAAATGAAAGTTTTTTAACCAACCTGTACGCGTGCCTCTGTTAGCTCTATTTTCATGGCGATCTCTTCGCGCGTATAAATATCAGGATAATGTGTCTCTTGGAAGATCTTTTCCAGCTCCTTGAGTTGTTTGGACGTAAATGTCGTTCTAACCCGTCGTTGTTTTTGTTTATCTTTGTAAAACGGTATGGGATTGTAGCTGCTTGTAGACCAGTCTGTATGTGGATGAAAGTTAATTCATAAAAAAATTGTAAAGAATTTATGCATTATATGTAGAAACGCGGCACTATTGACGGACACAGTACAAAATAACCGAATCTTTTGTTGTCGCTTTTTTGAAATCTATAAAATTATTATAGTCAAAACCTGGCGCGTGGCGCTTCGATTAAACAGCTCTCATATCTTCAATATGATGGTATAAATAAGAAAAAAAAACGTTAACTTCGACTGCACCGAAGCTACATTCCGCTACCCATATGCATTTCCTAAAGCATAAAAGGGTAGAAAAAGATTTCTGTCTTGATTTTGATCGGTCAGTCTAAATGACAGCTTGATGCTATGGTGAATCGGTTTGAAAAATTTATTCAGAGATTGCAGCGCTGCCTTAAATATTGATTTATGTTAAATTTCGTAATAATATTTTTTCAAAAAAGAAAGTTTTACATATAAGAACTTGATTATGATCAGTCAGTTTGTACGATAGCTATACCCTATCCGATATCGGCGGTTCCAACAAATGAGCAGCTGCTTTGATAGGAAAAGGCGTATGCAAAGTTTCAGTTCAATATCTCAAAAACTGACTAGTTCGCGTATATACAGCCAGATGGATAAACAGACAGACATAACCAAATCGAAGCAGCTCGTCTCCTACATTTTCTTTCTTTGTAAAAAACTTAATATACCCTGTTTAGAGTATAAAAACGATTGTAATACTAACAATATTTTATGAAGACAGAGCAAAGATTTCCATCAACGATTCTTTAGTTCGTCTGTTAAGAATCCAACTGATTTAACTTATTTGGCATAGCCCGAGAGGTAACACTTGTTGGCACTGGGCTCCGAAGAAATTACTTAGTAACTTAAATACGCTCAGCAATAACCTGTAAATAGTTGTTGGTATAGGTAGATAGGAGTTTCGACGAAAAGAGTTGGTTTCGTTTAAGGAAATCTAGAACACATTATCTCTAATAGGGTCAAAGTATGTAACATAGTCCAGTTTTTGATATTTCTGGAAAACTACAAGAAACTAATATCAGCGACGGCGAATACCACAATTAACACGATGATCATGTATGGTAAGTCGAGAGCTTGGTTGACACCCGTCGGCATAAACCAAGAGAATGGAAAGCTCGAATGAATATGTATACCCCAAATAGTTTTGTCGTGCTGCTATAGTGACATCCTTTGTGCATAACCCCTCCGCTTATTTAATCTCTAAATAGTTTTGTAATCCGTATTTGTTTTTTTTTTGTTATTGTGATGTAAACTTTAGCAAAAAACTCACTCACCTAAGCCACGCTCATAATCATCAGAATTATAGCCAAAATATAGTAACGAGCCACTTATTTCCGATTTTGAACTCGCGGTCGTTTCATGCTTAGGCGGCGCTGTGCGATATTTTTCACTTTTCAGATGGCACAAAGTTGTCGGACAGTCTGTAATTTTATTATTTTCAATAGAGATTCTATCAAAAGATAGCAAATAATTCTCTGTATTTAAAAAGAAATTCGTCTGGGGGTTCATTTTATTTTCCAAACCACTATTATATTTCACAAACATTTGGATGCTTCTAATGACTTTATGTAATATACGTTTCATTGATTAATTATTTATATATATTTATCATATAAACACGTATGCAGTTGTTTATGATTATTTTTTATTCTTATTATTATTATCATTTTTTGTTATTGTTTTTCACAATAAATAAATAAAAAAATCACTAGCGTAAGATCATCTAAGAAAATATGTATGATAAAGTGCTCTTGTCTAAATTGATACAAAATATTAGCCAACTTGTATACGTGGAAGTAGTTAAACAATTACTGTGATGTATAATAAAAGTGATTCTGTGATAACGCCACACATACACATGCTCAATCACATAAAACACTTTTGTGGGTGTTAACGAATTTAGCTACGAAAATAGGGGTGAAAGTTGATAGTCGTCCTTGCACTCTACATCAAGTCGAACGAGACTATTTCATAGGAGCTCAAAGATTCTTCATACATAGTATATGATATCTGTTGACCCAATACAAACATATCAACACTTAATCCAATTTTCCAAACACTTTTTATAATCCTCGGCTTAGTTTTTGGTTTCGGCACATTTTTGGAGCGCCATTCGCTAAATTGTTGGACAATTTAGACGTTATATTCATAAGCCCATGTCTCGTCACCAATACTAATGCGGTTGATGAATGTAGAGTCCTCGGCTACGTTGTTAAGCATCTCTTTTGCGAACTCAGCAATAGAATGCAAAGAGTCTCCGCATGACACAAAGCAACTCTTTACAAGTCCCGCCAAATCCATTCACTTAATTTACCTATTCTTTGGTCCAGCCGGTTTCCTGGGTCTACCGTTAAGTTATTTCGATGATTTATTTTGCACTTTCCACCAAACAGGGTTTAGGTACTCGCTACAACAACAACAATGGAAATACCGCCTTCTAGACGAGAGCACATTATTCCAATGTGTTATCTTGACGAGACATGAAATTTTTGTTCTTGGCCGTCCCGTCTGCTACTGGACGGGTAAAGGAAGGTAGAAAGGTATTTTAATACAAGTCTAGCATTGACATACTTCATACCCAAAACATTAACCAAAATATGTTGAGTCAATCCATAAGAGATGTTGAGATCCTCTGCTATCCCTCTGATGCCACGTCGATTTTCTAGCACTGTTTCTTTAACTTTTTCGATGTTATCGTCATTAACAGAGTTGCTTGACCGGCTCACATGAGGCTTGTTTTTAAAGACTTCACGACCTTCACTGAATACTTTGTGTCACTCAAATACTAAAGTAAACTCCTTAAAATACTTCTGCAACATTTTCAATGATACCGTAGCCGGTCTGCATTTGATCAGATGTTATATTATATATATACTCAAATTAAATAATTCTACTGAAGAAATGTACTCGTCTAATATTGTATAAATATCAATCTTACCTATTTCCGATTAGAAAAGTTGTAAACTACTATTTTAAATGAATCCGAAGTGATCAATGATTTTTAGAGAGGCGTTTTCATGGCTCTATACGAGCCATTGACGAGTACATTTCTATACATTTCTCCAGTGGAAAAGAGAAGAAGAAGATACTACCTATATCAGTATTTAAATATTTTGTTAATAATTTTACAATTTACCTCTGATTTTCTTTTAATTTAATATGAGTTTTTTTAAGGCAAATATGTAGGGCACATAGCTATCATATATGCCCAGCAAATTAAATTTTATCTATGGTATATTTTATGGGAGGCGCTACTTGTTTTTGCAATACGCACACAGTTCAGCTATGCACTGGCATCAAACATACAAACATGTACATTTATATGTACATATGTAAATGCAATACATGAGTATAAACAAATGCATAGCTTCCGTATCGTTATATCTACATTTATTACCATCACAAATTAAATCCTACCTTTTTCCGCTCACTAGCACAAAAAGTCACAAATACAACCGTATGCAATGCAGCCGACAAACCAATGTTAAATATGCTTCATTAAACATTGTTTACATACAAGTGTTTGTGTATACATTATCGGGGGAAGTCTGTGTTTGCTCTTAATTAAGGAACAAAGGATAATCATAGTGTTGTTATACAATATATATAAAAAATATGGGAAGTCATGTGTACACATATACATAAGCGTATTGCAGTTATGTATGTATGTATGTACATATATATGCACGTGTATGTATGCCTGTAAATGCTGTTTAAAATTTCGATGATAGTTCGTATTTTACGATGTTAATATATGTATATTAACTATAGTTATTCGTTTTTTGAATATATGTATATGTATGAATTGGTAGCTAGGTATGTACATACGTAATATGCATGTACTAACATTATTTAATATTTATGATTGCATTTTATAAGTTTTTATATATTTCTATAGTACTATAGAACTTACTTGTATATATATATACAAGTACATATGTATGTATGACGCATGAGTGTCCTTAAATAGATGTGTACCTTAATCATGTATCACTTGAAATAATTATGTATAAAACTTTTTTTATACATGTGTGTGTATATAATATATAATATTATATATATAGATATAATATAAATATTAATATCAGAAAATCGATAGAAATAATAGTAAGATATAAGTACATACAAACGCTGCAATCTGTGTGATATAATAATTCAAAATTTAAATGAAAGCATGTTTGATTGGTTGTGTCTGTCCGCAAGGCTAATAATTCTGAATAAGTTAGTTTCCAAAAAAATTTCAACATTCTATTTTTGGAAGAGATATAAAATATTTTATTGACTAAAATTTGAAAGTCATTAGAAATTTATGTTGCTCTAACTGTATTGTATGGTTTTTCATTTCCATGGTGGCCTTTGTCGCAAGGATAGACTTTTTAACTACCTAACCTAACGTAACCTAATATAAATAATTAATGTTGTATCAAATATATGGTATGGTTGAATATCGATAACGATATTATGTACAGAAAAATAATTATTTTGACATACGCTAAACTGAGGCGAATAAACAAATATAATCAGCTGCTCTGGGGCTACCAACAGAGAACAGAGAACGGATGAATTTGCCAAATTGCCATGCTACCACCCTAGAGTGAGGCATTCTTCAAATATGTGCTCACAGCTGTGTTAATTTCAAATTATTTTGAGAATCAGAAGGCAATTGGTACGAAGTGGCAACATTAACATATTGTCATTTTGTGAATTGCGCTAAATGTGTTGAGTAGCCGCAATAATTCGATTTATACAACTTTTGTGAGATTTTATAAATTTATAACAGTTTCTTTTATTGATTGGGCGTAAAATATATTTGAAAATGGCGCTACAATGTCCTGGTTCAGTGGATGTAACCGTAAGTACTACACATATAAATATGATATTTATATGCATGCTTAATAAATTCGGACGTTTCCCATAATTTATTGATTGCAATTTAATTTCTATAATAAAAATTAGGATATACAATTTAAGTTACAAAGTAAACATAAAATTTTTGGTGGGAATTCTAAATTGCGCGATCACGTTAACTTATTGGCATGTGCCAGCAATCATGGTCTACTATTTGTCGGCAATCCAAATGCCCCGGAATTACAGTGTAAGTTGTTGTGAACTATTCGTTGGGAAGTTTTTGGAAGGAGTATAAATATATTTTCTTAATTAGCTTATATTCTTCCTGATGTTATATATGCGAAGTTAAAAGGACAACCTGTGCACTTAAGAACCACGAAACTTCCTAATGCGCCTAATTCAATTGCTTGCAATGCAGATGGGTCTATGTTGGCGGTGAATTACACATTACAAGGTTATGGTGTTTTGGATATTTATCATGTGCCATCATTTGCGATTTCTGTACGTTGATATGCAACATATATTACAAGTTTCGGAAATAACTATAACTTTCATTGCAGGATGTAAAGACATTATATAGCATACGCTTGCCCGATCAAAACGTATATGCTTTACACATACTATGGAATCCTGTATTATCAAATGTCATAGGTGTAGTGCTTAGCAATGGTAATTTTGCGTTGTATACACTTAAAGATGGTGGCGCAATGGAAATGCGTTCGCTGCAGAATCAGCAAATACAATCCGCTTGTTGGTCGCCAAAAGGTAAACAGATCGTGTTTGGACATCCAAATGGAAAATTGCAACAATATAAACCCGACCTTACCATTGTTAAAAGTATCATTTGCCCACCGAATGTACATCCTGGACCTTTCGATACCATAGCATTACATTGGTTATCCACTTTTCAGTTTGTAGCAAGTTTTTTGCAGCATGGAGAGGAGGCTATGCCCAATATGTATATTATAAATGCGCCAAAAGGTGGAACACCAGTTTATATAAACTACAATGATGTATGCTATAGTGGTTCAGAACCGAGAAAACAACAAGTTACATTCATGCATATTGCACAGTGGAATCTATTGCTAGTTACATCAGCAAATGGTGTTGAAATAGGGCTATTGGGTACTAAAGATGCTAATGATCAACCGCAATGGGTTCATTATATGTTGTTAGATGAAGCGCGCATTGAAATGCCACTTACTGAAGGCAACGATGAAACATATCCCATTGGTTTGGCATTGGATATTTCACCAACACATGAGTTGATAGTGGGAGAGAAGAAGTTACATCCCATGCCGGTTATTCATGTACTTTCTACACACGGTCATTTGCTTTGTTTTAATTTTTTGAATTTGTCAGCAAATGTAAATATTTGTTCGCCACCAGCACCAATTCAATACGCAATGGCAAAGTTTAGCATTTTGAACGAAAGCAGTTTAACTGATTCGAATAACACACAAAAGGTAATAATAATAAGATTAACTCGAAACTAATATTTTTTATTAATTTGCATATTTTCACAATAGGAAGAGCGTGAAAATTTGACATTACCATCAATTGAACCACCGCCACCACCGGCACCCACATTAACCTTCAACGCACAACCGCAAATGAATGTTGCTAATCAAAACATGTCGGCCTTTGGTGTGCCGGCAAACAAGAATTTATTCTCAGGTGGTTTTGAAGAAAAACCGCAAAATCTAAAATTTGGTGTGGCGGCTGCTAATACTGAAACATTGCCTAATATGTTAAGTAAGTAGTTTTCTACAAAGGAAATATAGTTTTTGGAATCTTACAACTTTTGTTATGTAATAGACAAACCAACAGCACAAGCTGCGCCCTTGGCAACTGCGCAAAACACATTAAAACCTGCGCCACCTACAGAAGTTTTTAAGCCATTGTATACGGTTTCACCGGAATTTGCGCCACCACCGGTACAACCTGCGCAGCAAACTCAGCAATCTCACTTTGATATTGCGGGAAAATCAAAAACACACACACTAAATTTAAATGAAACAAATACAGTGATACAACAAATGATTGTGATGCAAATGACCGCATTTGACAAGGAAATTAAGCAACTAGCACAGAAGTCAAAACTAGCACTTGTGAGTTACACTTATTAGAGTATTTTTGTTTTATCATTTTTGCTTGACTTAAAAATACTTTTCCAGCACGAAGATCCGAGTATCATGAAGAGTTATAGCAAACGCTTAATTAACCTACAAGAAATTATTGATCAAGCCAATGAGCGCGACTTTATAAAGGATGTTCAAGATCTACGCCACTCACTGACAGAATCATATGAAATGTTGAATGAATACCGTTCTAAACTAGAAACTTTTAAAAATCCTGAGTAAGTTTTTAATGCTTCTGCCGTTAAATAAATATTAATATTTCTTATAAAATATTGAATTAAATATGCACATCTTATCCTTCAGCGAACCAGGTGCAAAGTATTTATCATTATATGATTGCATTAGTCAACGTCAATTGAAAAGTCTTCAAAGCTATCTCACCGTAAATCAAAGTATAATGAAGCGCCTGGAGGAACAAATGGACATACAATGGTCTTATTATCAAGATTTAGTGCGTCGCAATTCGAAATGTCAAATGCGTATACCATGCCTTGATGGCATATATCAACAAATGACCAAACTGAAAGATCTTATCACACAACAACAGACGAAATTGCATTATATTAAAAACATTATGAAGCAAAAAGATTTGGGTCGTGCTAGAACAGGCAGCGATTGTCGAAAGGAAAGCACTCAATTGATAAAATCGGATGCGTAAGTTTTTAAATAACACAATATTTATTTATATACCGATCTAAATTTAGTTCTTGTATGGCAAACTTTTTTATTTGAAAATTATCTTCACGAAATTTGGCACAGATTATTGCCGATCGGAATCAAGTGTTTGTACGGAAAACTGTTTCATTTGACGAGGTATCTTCACGAAATTAGGCATGAGTTATTGTCTAAGGCAACAATGTAGTCTCCGAAAATTTTTTTTAGATCAGATCACTATAGCATATAGCTGCCATACAAACTGAACGATCGGAATCAAATTGTTGTCAGGATTCTTTGTATTAATGAAGAGTATTATAACATCTGTGCAGCCAAAGTTAATGTTTTTCTTGTTTTTTTTTTTTTGTCTTGGAAAACTTTAATATACTATACGTAATAACTTGCAACCAAAATATTTCGAATATACTTAATTTACTTGTAAGAATTTTATTTTGCATAAAAAATACTTTTGATTTTCATTTCTGAATTTAGGGGCATTGTGTCATTAGCAGATTCTATACTCTCCATGACTATACACAACATTACAGATGCCAAAAGCAATAAATTATCAGAGAGTAAATTGAATGCTTTGCGAAATTTTACAAATCAACAAGGAAAGGTAAAAATAATCAAACCACAGCGTCCAAATCGTATTGAGCTGACATCAGAGGTTATTTTAGAAACCAAACAACTTATCAAAAAGAAGGAATCTAAAGACAAAGAAGTCAAAACCAGTAAAGCTGCTGAAAAAATACATGCGACAACAAAAAAAGAAACGCAGCAACAACAACAACATTCATTTAAACCTATGCAAGCGCCCACTAAACAAAACGTTGAGCTCCAAGTGTTAAAGCTACAACAACAACAACAACCTGACCAACAGGCATTACAGTTCTCAAAAGCGACACCAACAGCCGGATATTTCAGTAACTCACAGAGTACAGCACCACCTACAGCAGCTGTCCAACCTAAGCCACAAACAAGCACACCATTTTCGACATCCACTTTCGGTAGTGGCAACAATTTTCAGCCGAAAGCTGAACCAATTAAACACGAAAGCGGAAATGAAATGCCTAAATTTACACCAAGTACTAATACCTTCAAAACCGATGTTGTTGAAAACAAACCAAACAGCCATATAACTGCAGCTAACAAAAGCACTTTACCAAAAACCGATGCTGTTGATAAATCATCAGCAACTGCAATGAACTTCTCATTTACAACAAAAGCCGATGCGGCCGATGTTGGCAAGTCCTCGTTAAGCTTCAACGCCACTTCGAAAGCATTTATCGGTTTTGGTCAACAATCGTCAAATACAATGCCACAAACCAACTTATTTAACGCAAATAAGACAGCAGTTAATGCAAATGCTAATCAAACGAACGATGCGCCAAAAGCGTTCAGTTTTGGTAGCACCTTTAGTGCACTAACCGATTTAAATAATGCCAACAAACCAAATGCTGCGCAAAATCAAACAAACATAACGGCTAATACAAACGCAACGGCAACAACACAACCATTATTTGGTACAACAACAATGCAACCAACAATTTTCAATAAACAGAACGAGAACCAATATTTCGCAACCCAAACAGCACCCTACGCAGGCGCCAGGTAAATTGGAAATGTGTCTACTCGCAGATATACATATATTGTTTTAAATATTTCTATGTTTTTAGTGCAATTGGTATGGAAAAAATATCCACTGCTGATACACAAACAAAGAGTACGCCTTTGGTAAACGCTTTGACTAAGGATGCAACAGAGCTTAGTGTTGTCGGTGCCGTTGGTGCAGCACAAACAAAGAGTGAGGCAGATGACATGTATTTGAAATCTTTGAATATCTGCAAACCAACACCGAAAGGTATTTAAAAATTACTAATACTAATGCTATTTTATATTATAATTTATTAATTAATTATTGTTATTGTGCTAACTTTTCTCAGAAGCTGTGAAACCCAAAGATGGCAGTGTGTTCTCCTTTAGTTTAAATACGGAGAATAATCCGCCCGGCGCTTTTCCGAGCATGCAACCGGAATTATCGATTTCCAAAGTTAATACAATTACAACAAACACAACCGCAACAATAACACCAACGATTTTCGGCAAGCTTACAACAACAGAACAGTCGTCTTCACCATTCAATGTCGCCAATACAAATGTATCTGCATTTGGTAGTACTTTAGGCTCCAGCACACCATCCACATTATCTATACCGACAACTAGCAGTATTGGTGGCGCAGGCGCATCTGCGTTTTCATTTACGAGCTCAACGCTCTTCAAACAGCTGCCGACTTTCCAAAATCAAACTGCTGCAAGTACCACTACTACTGCTGCAGCTACCGGTGTGGCAACATCGGCAACTATAAGCGCACCTATCACAGCTAAAACAGCGCCAGCAGAAGCAACTGCTTTTACTACAACAACTACACACGCTCCCACAGCAGCATTAGCGTCTACTGCTGCAATAACGGTTGCTGCCGCCACAACAATCCTAACACCAACGCCATCACCTACAATAGTGGCACCCAACGCTGTCTCGTCGGCATCAGTTAGCAGCGCAACCAGTCCATTCTTTTCAACGATTGCAGCCGCTAAAGCGCCTAGCGAATCGCTGTTTGGCAATTTAGGACAGCCAACTCAAGCTGCAAGCCCCGTAAGCTCTCTTGCAAAAACTGAGAATGCTGCGCAACCGGCAACGACCACAAATGTGTCGGCATTTGGTGGCCTATCTTTGGGTAGTCAAGCACCAGCTGCCAGTGGTGGCAGTATCTTTGGCAACTCTAGTAGCGTAGGATTTGGTGCTGCCACGGGTGGCATATTCGCCGCTGCCGCAGCTGCCACTATGCCAACAAGCCCATCAGCGGCTGTCGGCAATACCTCCGCTGGTTCCATATTTGGTAACAGTGCCGTTAAGAGTCCTGACAGTACTGCTGGGTCGATTTTCGGCAACGCCGCAGCAAAACCGGCTGAAAATACTGCATCTATATTTGGCAATGCGGTCGTTAAGAGCGCTGATAGTACAGGTGGTTCTATATTTGGTGGTGCTCCCTCCAAAAATCCGGACGCCGTTAATGTTTTCGGTTCACCAACACCAGCCAATGCAGCTGTGAGTAGTGGTTCGATTTTCGGTCAATCAACTGGTAGCATTTTCGCTTCTGCCGCCGCCGCCAGTAAACCGGATTCAACGCCCACACCATCGGGTTTCAGTTTTGTTGGTTCGGCTTTCGGTGCTGCGCCGAATAATACTGCTGCATCTGGTGGCTCTATATTTGGTGGTGGCGCAGTTGCAACCGATGCACAACAGCAACAGCAGCAATCAAATATATTTAGTTCACCCGTCAGTGGTTTTGGTGCAACAGCCAATTCGCCGTTCAGTTCATTCTCACAAGGTGGCTCTTCAATAGCAAGCACAGGTTTTGGTTCACCTACACAGCAACAGCAAACGGGTGCTTTTCCACGACCAGTTTTCGGTGGTGCGCCAACATTCGGTAGTCCACCGGCCTTCGGGGCACAACCTAGTTTTGGTGGCGCACCAACTTTTGGTAGTCCCAAAGGTTTCGGCTCATTTGCCACGCCCACAACCACCGCCTTCAGTACGCCTACAACGCAGAGCAGCAATATTTTTGAAGCTTTGGGCTCGACCGATACAGGCTTGTCTTTTGGTAATCTAGCACAGACGACGAATACTCCGCCAAATGCTCCGAAGCCTATATTCGGCGGGTAAGTTAGTAGACAACAATCGCAAGTCCAAATGTTTCTGACTATCTCCTTTATACTTTATTCTTTTATACTCTAGCTCCTCATTCATGAATTATCGTGCATAAATGTGCCACAATGACTGCGTGAAGGCGTGCGCGGATAACAGGTTACAATTTCAAACGATTCTATTTAAGTTACTGAAATTATATAATAAAAGAAAATACATATACGCACGAAAATGCGTTAACTATCCAATTTCAATATCCAATGAATACGTTTTCGAAGTTAATACAAAAGCTTAATATTTATTTATTGAAATATGTATGTTAGTAGTTTCAGCAAAAAAAAATAAAAAATAATTTAAAAATATGAATGTATATTTATTGAAACATATTAATCAATAAGTAGTTTTAGCAGCTTTAATTAATGTTTAATATATTTTTTTTTTACTCTTCAATATTATTATTTCTTTTAATTTTCACTATACATACTTTTTTTTAATTAATTTTTTTAAATTATTATTTATTTTGTCTTTTAATTTTAATTAAATTTTATTTTTATTACAATTTTACTTTTTTTATGTTTTTGTTATTTTGTCTTAATTTTAATTAAATTTTATTTTTATTACAATTTTCCTTTTTTTATTTTTTAATTAATTTTTTTTTAATTTTAATTAAATTTAATTTTTTAATTAATTTTTACATCTTTATCCAACATTTTGTGTTTTATATTAAATTTTGAACTTGATGTAAACTATTTTTTTTTATTCTCTAATTTTTGTTCACCACTTTCTAGCTTTTTAATTTTTGTAAAAAATAGGAGCTTTTTAATGTTTTTAGAACTTTTTAACACTATTCATCTTCTTAAATCTTATATACACATGTATATATATATTTTTTTTAAACATAGTTTTCGAAGAGGAACTGGCCGCAACAAACATTTGGCTTTAGTTACACTCCTTTATTTGCATTTTCTGCTACTTTTTAATTATTTAGAATATTTGCGCAATTAAAAAATGGTTTGAAGCTCAATAATATTAGCACACCAACCAACTTGCCAACTTAAAAGTCCACAAAGAAATGTAAAACGAAAAAACTTTCTTGTTCGCATTGTATTGCTATATTTACAATAATTTAGTATATGTATTAATTTGCTATTTAATTGTAAAACTATGTATAGTTTTATTGGAATTTTGTAATTCTGCAGCCGATTCTGTACCCAGAATTGCATTTAACTGTATTAGATCATATTTTGTATACATTACAGTTATACTCATCGAATCGTCTAAGCCATCTGCCGAATTCTGATTGCTTTCATTCATCATATTGACCATCTCTGAATACAACTGTGGCCACATTGGAGGCTGATACATAATTAAATGTCGTATACCCTTTATACGTGTACGCTGATAGAAATGATATCGTTCGGAGTATTGTAAAAAGTGCACGCCGCTGTGATAGAACATATCTCGCGCACGCGCCACCTTCTCCCTTTTGGTATATTCACAAATTTGTGCAAAACTTATAGATTCGGCTTTCAAATAGTTACGCAAGCGAACATAATCAAAGTAACTGGGTACATATATCATACAATGCGCAAACGAAGGCTTTCTATAGCGTGGTAATATTTCTTTGACGAAATAACGGAAACGTGTATCGAAAACAGAGTCCAAACTTGTAGTATCAATTAAATGAAATATTTGTGGTGTGGTAACAAAGACATTGCTGATGTCACCTTGCAGAATCGGATTCGAAACAGACACTTTGCCACAGTAGTTAAAGCATTTATTGAAGAAAAGTGAACGTATTTCGGGTAGCTCATGCGACGAGAGCACCACTGTTTGTCGATAAAAACGGCATAAGCCATTCAAACACCATGGGCGTACACGTTGTAAATTAACATTGCTTAAAGATTGTGGCTGCAGGTGCAAGTGATCTATTACATGCAGTAGATTTTCCCAATTCTGTGCTAAAAACATTTCCGTCTTGTCCAATATCAGAAGTTCGATGGAATTTAAAAAATCAAAGGCGCCTGCCTCTTTGCTGTTTGATGCTATGCCCAAGCGCAGGCCTAGTGGCGATGCAATTATAATATCGGATGCATTGAAATCCGTGTAGAGTTTTAAGTTCTTCTTGGTTATAGAGATGCCAATTTTAAAATTGTCATCTATATTGCCTTTAAATGTTTCTACGTAATCTTCTGGCTTCGGCTTGTTTTGCGGAAAACGCAAGCTATCGCCCGTATATTCATCAGTGAAACGCGTAAAGTTCATTAATTTTGACACTAAAAGCAGAAAAGATTTTATTGAATAATAAGTTAATTTTAGTTACATTATTTATCTACATACCCATATTTTTTCCGTACAATAGCCGCCCCATATTTGTCACAATTTGATAGGCACATTTCCTGAATGGCAAAATGACAAGTACTTTGGGTCGCGCCAATCCTTGATCTCGATAACTGTCCGGTATGGTCACAATATTTGGTGTAGCTGCCAATTTCATATTATGTTTTAGTATGCGATTACGAGTCTTAAGCATATGATTCAAAATGTGCGCACTGTAACATAAACGTAATTCATTCAACTTGTCCCTTTGCATATTGGGATGACAGAAATCATTATAGCGATTGAGTATTTGAAAAACTTCTGACTGCAAAGGTGTGATTTCTTTTGTAAAATTGTCTAGTACAGCTGTCCTAATATTCATTGTATTTAAATGTTCCGTGCTAAGTAATTTGTAATTGGTATTCCAATTAAGTTCACTTTTAGAAAGTTCTTCACATTCAAATTGTGGTATTTGCATTTTTAGTGTACCCAATTGTGGCCAAGTAAGTATGCTTCTCTTAACTTCCCCTTGTGCAGTCCATAAGTTATCTACACTTTCAAGCGGCAAATCGAATTCAAAATGCAGCGCAAACGTGTCATTGGATTCTATTGCTTCTAATTCCTCAACTTCTTCTGTAGCGTCTTCTTCAGCTACAACCTCCTCGGCATTGTTTGCTTCAGAAACAACTGATAATTCATCATCCGTATTGTCATCAAGGGAATCATCGGCGAGTATATGACTTTGTTCTGTTTAGTATATTATGATTAATTCAGGTCTGGAAATTGACGTGCGTCAATGCTTACCTTTTGTGGAGAGTGTGTCCATAAGTTCGTTGAAGGTATTTTGTTCGGCATTATCTTCCTCATCCTTTATGAATTCAAATATTTTGCCTTCAGCTTCATCTATTTTGATTTCCTCCTTCTCTCTGTACGATTTTTCCAACATCGCTTGCTTCCGGTGTTGCTCCATCATTTCCCTCGCTTTGCGTTTAAATTTAAGGTTTTTAGTTGTCTTATTCAGGTGAGCATTACTCTCGGCGGTTTTTGGTTTTTTCTTCGCTCCCATAATGTTAAATAATTATTTGAATTATTTTGTAGAATTTAGGTAATGTATAAAAACTCGACTGAGGATATGTGGTGCACTATTTTTGTTTTTATTTCAAGCACGCTTGTTCTGAAGTGTTGCCGTATAATTATATGATAGATACTTAAAGGAAAAATAGTTCATTTTCTCACAATAACCAAAAATAAAAACAAATTAGCAAAATTTTCCATCACACCTCTCTAGCGCATGCATACATATTTTTTTTTATATAAAAACTTCTTAAAAATATTATTATTCTATTAAATTAACCGACATTTACTTTAATCAAAACTATGGCAATGTTGAACTGCGTTGACCACCCTGTGTTGATTTCACTATTCAAGTTGAAACGTTGCCGGCAAATTCGCAAGTATTTACAAATTTTTGTCAAGCAAAATAACACAATTAAAAGAAGGGAATAATGGCACAAAGATCAATAACGTTAGTTATAAATACTTTAAAAGATTCCTTGGTGAAAGTTAATAGCACAAATACATTTGTTTTTAGGTCTTTTTTTAAACCAACAGCTAGTGCGGGCTCTGAGGAAGCATCAAGCACAAAACGCAGCAGGTGAGAAATAAAGCGCGCTAAAAATTTGTATATATCTTTACAGGCATTTTATTTAAGGCAGGAAAGCCCTCAGTCTAATGGAAAGATTGGGGAACCCGAGAAGAAAATTCAGAGGAAATCTGAAGAAACGGACAAAAGAGACGCAAAGCAAAATGCACAGACTAATAGTACAAATAGAGATACAAAGAAACAATCACCAAAGGCGTCAAAAACATCACCTAAGAACAAGAATACATCCAGTCCTTTCAAAAAGCAAATTAGTGATGTCAAAAAAGAGATTACAAATGAAAAGGAAAAAGTAGACAGCAAACCCATAATTGCCACTAGTCCATTCAAAAAGCAAATAAGTGAAGTCGAAAAAGAGATCACATCTGAAAAGGATGAATTCGACAGCAAACCTGCGAAATTAAAGTCTGAGTCGAAATTAAGTAAAGATGATGATGCTTCGAAACAAAATTCAAACAAGGATGAGAGTGCGAATGTTAAAAAACTCTCTGTGGAAGCCAATCAGTGTGGTGCCGAATACAATCCGGCTTCTGTGAGATATCATCCTATTAAAGATGCTTATTGGAAAGCAAACCAAAGGTAAGGAAAGCTTTTTTTGTATCTAAGCTTATATAAAGAAATATTTATTGCGAGCAGCACACCATATTTGGCTTTAGCAAGAACTTTTGAAATGATCGAGGATACCAAGGGACGTTATAAGATGGTAGAAATACTAGCAAATTTCTTAAGCTCCGTTTTATTATTAAATCCAGATGATTTATTATCCTGCATTTATTTGAGTATAAATCAATTGGCACCGGCATATGAAGGTAATGTAATAAATATAATGAAACTAAAACACTATCATATGCCACTACGATTTTCAAATACATTTTTAGGCGTAGAGCTCGGTGTAGCGGAAACCACCTTGATGAAAGTCATCGCTGTCTCAACGGGACGTGAACTGAAGTTCATAAAAACACAAACGCAGGAAATTGGTGACTTAGGCATTGTTGCTGAGCGTTCAAGAGTTTCGCAGCGTATGATGTTTACGCCAAAACCACTCACCGTACAAACTGTCTATCAAAAATTGAGAACAATAGCAAAAAGTTCGGGCAAGGCAAAATCTCCAATTATACATGATCTCTTTGTGGCATCACGTTACTCCGAAGCTAGATATATTATACGATCACTAATTGGCAAGATGCGTATAGGAATTGCGGAAAAAAGTTTATTTCAAGCTTTAGCCACAGCGTTAGTAAGCAGTAAACCCTATGATGATAACTATAAAAAGAAAAAACAATCTGAAGCGGATATAAAAAAAGATATTGAGGATATAACCTTTCTACTTAAAACTGCTTATTGGTAAAGTCATATACATATATATAACTGTATCTCTTATTTTTATAATCTCTCAATCTTTTTTATTATAATTTCAGTCAATGTCCAAACTTCGATAAAATCATATCGACCTTACTTACTCAGGGCATTGATGATTTACTAAAACATTGCTCCATGGAACCCGGTGTGCCATTGAAACCTATGTTGGCGCATCCAACACGTGGTGTATCCGAGGTGATGGATCGCTTGAAGGGCAACATCACGTGCGAGTGGAAATACGATGGCGAACGTGCGCAAATCCATCGCGACAAAAATGGCACCGTTAATATATATTCACGTAATCAAGAGAATAACACAACCAAATATCCGGATGTAATAAAACGTATCGATCACTTCAAAAAGGACACGGTACAATCGTATATAGTAGACAGTGAAGTGGTAGCTTGGGATATTGAGCAGAAACAAATTCTACCCTTCCAAGTGCTTAGCACAAGGAAAAGGAAGAATGTAGATGTAGAGGAGATTAAAGTACAAGTCTGTGTATATGCATTCGATCTATTGTATTTGAATGGCGAGGCGTTGACTTCGAAAAACTTCTCCGAAAGAAGACAATTGCTGCGAGATAATTTTAATGAAGTTGAGGGTGAATTTCAATTTGCAACTTCATGTGACACCAATGAACCTGACGACATACAAGGCTTTTTGGAAAATTCTATTAAAGGTTTATATACAGATTGTTAGTGTATATAAATAAATTTCCAATTGATATAATAATTGTAGGTAATTGTGAGGGTCTGATGATTAAGTCGCTGGACAACGATGCCACTTATGAAATTGCGAAACGTTCACACAAGTGGTTGAAGCTGAAAAAGGATTATCTGACTGGGGTGGGTGACTCGTTAGATCTGGTTGTTATCGGCGGTTACATAGGCAAAGGCAAACGCACTGGTGTGTATGGTGGATTCTTACTAGCTTGCTACGACGATGAAAATGAGGAATATCAAAGTATATGCAAAATAGGCACAGGTAAGTGGATTAAAAAAAAAATGAAATGAAACCAATTTCATTTTGCCTATTTCAGGTCTGAACGATGAGGATTTGAGCACACATGCAAAATTCTTCAAAGAACACACAATACCAGCACCAAAATCATATTACCGTTTCGATGCTAGTTTGGCGCCCGATACTTGGTTTGAGGCCGTGCAAGTATGGGAGGTCAAATGTGCGGATCTTTCATTGAGTCCGGTGCATAAAGCCGGCATCGGTATTATTGATCCTGAGAAAGGTATATCACTAAGATTTCCACGTTTTATACGTATACGTGAGGATAAATCTACAGAGGATGCAACAGCTGCACAGCAAGTGGCTTATATGTATCGCAATCAAGATCAAGTTAAAAATCAAAAAACCAATGCTGCAGAGTTTGATGACGATTTCTACTAATTATATATAAAATGGTAATATATTTATTGTTTAGGGAAGCTCTATATGATGCACATGGTTTGTTGCCAGTCAAGAAAACCTGTGTGTGAAGTTTGTATCTGCTTAGTACGTGTATAATAGAACATACGTTGATTATATACACAGTTACTTCACGCTACTATGTTTGTTGTGCGCTATACATTTCTTGTTTTCAATCAAAATTAATTAAAAATTTAAGTTTTTGTTTATGTTGGATTTTTTTTTACGCTTATTAATATTTTTCCATTAAAGTTATATAAAAATGTATGAATGTTTTTAGTGTCCAAAATTTGTAAAATTTAAATTTCAATATTATAAAAAAATTCTGAAAATGGGAAGTCATATAGCCAATGCTTCAATCTATCTGCACACAAAATTGCATACGCATATCACCAAAATTAAACGAGTTATATTAAAATTTGTTTATTAGATTAAAAATGTATAACTTCCAATCTCACTTGTTTTTAAAGAAAATTTTGTAAAACATATTATTTGTCTCAATTTCTTTTACTAAAAGCGTTAAGCTTTTATACCTCCTTAAAAGCTAGTGTAGAATTTTAATATCGACTTATTTTTTTATTCATGTTTTCAAAGTTTAACTATTTAAGAATATGTGTACGAGCGGATTTTTGAAAATTCGAATTATTTTCGGAGATATAGACATTTTACTTACGCGGCCTCCAAATTGGTTCGGCTGAGTGTAATCGACCAGACCAGACTTTTTTAATACGATACCCACGATTTCTCTGTTCTAGTTCTACTGGACCGATTTACTTGAAAATTTCAGAGAATCTCCTTAATAGACATTTATATATCCTATGAACTAGCCTTATCATCAAATTTCATTTTTTACTATTGTTAGAAAATACGAGAAAAAATCTTTTTTTAAACAGTCGCCATTTTGTCCAATTTAATTTTTTTACTTATCGTTAGTTCATACAATTGCGACATTATTGACAACCTTTTCTTTCATTATAGATGACTAGGAGGGTTGAGGGGTATGCTCATGTGTCAATTTTTTGAGACCTCCCACTTTATCAGCTGCCAGTTTTTGAAACTTTTAACTTTTTTTTAAACATTTTTTTTTCTGTTTCTCTTGTAACATTAATAAATAACTGATAAAAAAATCGATGGTAAAAATATTGATGTCTTTTTTTTACGGCACTAAAAATTACCTAAAATTCATGTGTCTAAACTAGAATACCCCTTAAACATCGAAAGTTGCATTTAAAAGTCCCGCTACAAGCAAACTTATTGGCATTTGAAGCTGATTATGGTGAAAAGGCAGAATTTGCATTATCCTGATTTTTTCTTCATCGTTTTCCAACAATTTCTGTGATGTAGTTGATGCATATAATTCTGCACTAGCAACAATGTGTAAATAAAAGTAAAAACATGTAGAGTGAATATGGAATGCAATAAAAATATATAAAAAAAAACTTTTTCAAAGGAAAGAAAATCAATGATAAAAAAACAACAACAAAAAATTCGAAAAATGTATTGTATATAAAAAGGGGTATGAGACTCCCCTAGGTTGGCAGGCTTGCCAGGTATCATAAGTGGGAAGACCCTTGCGATTTTACACACATCGGGTATGTGAAAGGTGGTGAGTAAAAAATTGAGGACCTTGGTGCGATAATTTATTGCTTTGTTGATGGCACTCTGAACCTCGTCGTCGGAGAAAGCAAGTGGTGCGTAGTTTTTTTTTTGGCATTTTGCGCAATCGTCGTGTAACACATCTTAACGCCTTGTTTACCGAAGGGTGCAGCATCAATTGTCGGCTAGGCACGACCTTCAAATTGAATTTCGACCCGGTTGTCGTTGTGTCGCCTCAAATTGAACAGGTATTTGACAGTAGTCCAAAGCTTGCTCACTCCGGAATTACGGTAAAAATAGCTGACAGTGACACGAAAATGAAATTTTTGAAGCTGGTGTGCGGCTGCGACAGCCATGTATTAATAATTTTATTATTAACATGTACTAATTGTTTTTGTTACTCAAATTATTCCCGATAGCAAAAAAAAATACGTTTCTTATTTTTTGTTGTTTATTATGCAATTTTTTGTTATTATTGTACTATATTTTTTGATTATGCATTTAGTTTTATTTATATATTTTCTGTTGTTTCATTTATTTTTTTTATTTAATTTACTTTTTTTTTTGTGTTCCTTCTTTTTCGTATATTGATATTATATTATCTTCTGTATTTCTATACATAAACAATTGTACGCATATGTCATATGTCATTGTTGTTATTTTGTTTATATTTACACATATTCTTCTTGTTATTTATCTTTGTGAAATTATTTGTACTTTCATCCAAATATATATATATTACTATATAGGTACAATATATTAACTTCATTGCTCCAAGCTTCAAGCCGGTCTCGAACCTCCAACCTTTGGAATAGCGTACTGTGAATAACTGCACCACAGTCGCTTTATGGTGGAGTAGTGACTTTGTCACATAGGTGCTCCATGTCCTGTGGTCAACAGGGTGTTGAAATGGAAATGCATCACGATTTGCCACTAATTCACTACCACTATAAATTTAATCACGAATATTTTTTGTTTGCACTAAATTAAAAAACCTCAATACGAATTTATTAAATTTTATTTATAAAAAAATTATTTTCATAAAAAGTTAGTGTTGCTTTAATTCATTGTTTTAAATGCATGAGTAATTTTATTAGTAAATGTGCAGTTAAAATCTTCTTTCTGACAGTTTGACTGTCTGTGTATTAAATGCATATTTATTTGTATGCAAGGCGGACGGGCAATTGCAAGCTATTACTTAGATTCTGTGCCACCGGGATTTTAGTGATGATGCTCATTTTTACTGTTTCTAGTGATTATTCAAGTGCTATTGTGCTTATATATCCGTATTTTCATCGAAGAATCCCAACATGAGCATCTCTTTTTCCGAAAAATTATATGGAAAATGTAGACTAGTTGGCACAAAAATTTCACCGCTAATATTACTAAAATTAAAAAAAATAAAAAATTTTATAAACATTATGGATCATAAATTAAAAATATTTATATTTATTTATGTACATATGTTCATACATATGGTATGTTCAGAAGTATCATTTGTTATTTTGAATGCCTTTGCCGCTTTTGAAATATGCTTTTTTAAAGAAAATTGTATCATCTATAAATATGTATATATATTCTATATTAAGTTGCAAGAAATTTTTTTTAAAGTAGCAACAACAAAATAGAAAAACAAGTTTATAAAAAAATAATAACATGAAAAAAAAATTATACTGAAATAAAATAGAATAAAAAATATAAAAAAATTGAAAAGAAAAAGTATAAAATTACATATTTTTTAAAACATGTGAAAATTTAGCTTACAAAAAAATACTTTTTAATTTAATGTAAAGAAAAATTATATTTGTAGAAGTAAAAAAAATAATTAAAAATACCGTTGAACTCTAAAATGGTTAAATTTTGCGACCTGACTCAAAAATTCGAATGAAGAAAGTATAATACTTTGTATAGGTATATACATATGTACATATACTATATACATATGCATGTACATATATATATGTACATATGTATGCATATTTCTATAAAAATTAGTTTATAGTTTTTTGGCTTTACTTGCTAAATAAACGTTTCTGAACAAATAATCGAGGATTTGTCACCTTTTCTTATTGTTATTGAACTTTTTGAGTATTTTTTTTTTTTATATTTGTATTATGAGTATTTTTCCCGGAAATTTTTATATTTAATGTTGCTTTGAAACTAATTTTTAGCTGCTAAAACTTCATTCTGTATGCATTCTCTTTCTTGATAAATGGGTTGAATATTTGAGAGACAGGGTATTAATAATTGGTTACAGCCATAAAGCATTTAAAAGCAGCGAGTTGAGTAATAATTAAAATAATTGTAGTAATTATAAATCATTTCAACATTTTTTTGATTTTTTTTTAATAGACAGCTAAATATTTAGGTCAATTGTAGTTTAATAATAAAAACTCGCAAAGTACGTTCTTTTTTGTTTTTGTAATATGCACTTACTGAACTGTACCGGTGATATTTTACTTTCAACCTTAAATATGTATATATGTATGTAGAGCTATGTATTTAAAAGTTAATAAAATACGAATACTTACGAATCAGGCGTCTCATTGTAGCCAATCGTGTATTTATACGGTATATTTATAGCGGCCCGCTTTGAAGCACACCATGTCGGTTCGTATTGCATCGCATAGAAGGGATAATCGAAGGCATTTATATATATTTGTACGCATAAGCCGTGACTGCTATAATAGGGTTGACTGGAGGCAGCCGGTTGATAGTGACCGCAGCTACCCAAACGAACATTCTGATGGCAAGTGTAGATCTGTGTGCCCTTATCACGACTAGAGTGCAAGCACTGTACGTGACGGGCGGCCTCACGATGATCGATGTGGATGAAGACATCAAAACCGGGACCAGCCATGTCACAAGCTGGAATTCAAATGTATAATAAATATTCTTATTACAAAGAAGGGAGAGAGTTAGAAACCATTTTTGTCATAATGCGTGTCATATTTATTTATTTTCTCAGACCTGATCCGTCATACTATCGGTATATAACTTTTTTCAAAACTAAATAAAATCATAAATTAAATAACTCTTTAATAACTTACTATCAATGCTGCGAAAGAGATATCGTTCACTCAAACTACGCCCGATGGCCGACGCCAGCTGCCCGCCGAAACTAAAACCGAACATATAACCATTATCGGGATCGAAGCCTTCGTTAATTAGAAGCAACATTCGTTTTGTAATTATATTGGAAATGCGGCGAAAGCTTCTGTATAACCACATATAAGAGTCCTTGGCGAAGACTTCATAGTCTATGCACACAATGCAACCGCCACGGTGATATGTAAGGCCTACAAATATATGGAGTGCAGATTTATGTATGTAACTTTTTAATATATAGCAGTTGTATGCAGCTTCTACTCACGTTCAATGAGGGTGAGCACCCATTCGGTTTCGCAACTTTGCCGCCAGCCATGTAATATAAATGCAAATTTATCATCCGGCGAACAGCCAGATTTGGACAGAGCTTTGGGATCATCGCTGGCGCTTTCGTAAACCTTTTCACCATCACTAACATTTATATATACATATATGCAGATATATGATCACATTGTGCTCAACTTTGCATTTCAGTTTACCTATATACGTACCGATAATATTTAAAGCGTATACCCTTGCGAAACTCTTTTTCATTTTCCCAACGCCTATTAATTCTCAAGGTCTTCAACTGTTTAATAAGGCCTGTCGACTGAAGTTTCCCAACGCAACGACGGCAAGTACGTGCACTCCGAACCACTTCCAATTTTATTGGACTTTCATCTTCATTGGCAGTAATCAATTGGAGCAGCGTTAGAATTATTAGAATGTGAAGATAAAAAAATTTCGAGGTCATTTTTTAACGCGGCGTGCAACACTATAAACATTGTTTGGTTTAGAACCTGTTGGTACTACTTTTTGCTATAATTTATTTGTTGGTAATAAGCGGTTGTGGTTGATCGGTTTTGCATTTGAAGTTGAGAAACGAATTCCCACAAACAATTTTTGTCATCAAGGGTAATATAACGATATTCGAATATAGAAAATATTGGTAAAATAAATTTTACGGATTTGAAAATTTAAAATTACAACTAAAAGTTATTAAGATTATTTTAAATAAAAAAAAATATATATATATATAGAGAAAATTGTATTTAAAATATAACGAAATTAAAAAAAAAATATATATATAAATATATTTAAAAAAAAGTATAAATATTTTAAATTAAAAAAACTAATTAATTATAAAACCTTTAAATTAAAAAAAAAAAATTATAAAAATTTTTAATTAAAAAAAAATAATTATAAAAACTTTAAATTAAAAAAAATATATATTTAATAAAAAAAATAATAATTTTAATAAAAAATATGTAAAGAAAATTTTAAATGAAATTAAAAAAAAAAAATTATTAAAACTTTAAATTAAAAAACATAAATTTAATAAAAAAGAAAAAAAATAAAATTTAATAAAAAAAAAAAAAATAAAATTTAATAAAAAAAATAATTTAAATAAAAAATATATTAGGAAAATTTTAAACTATAAAAACTTAAATAAAGCAAAAAAAAATTATAAAGGAAATTTTAACTAAAAGCAAAATTAAAAAAAAAAAATTAAATGCTGTCGAAGAATGCATAGAAGGTTTCAACGTCGATACCGACCGCTAACGGACTTTACGAGAAGTTTTTCTCTGAAATACACTTAGACAGGCGATCGTTAGCAGAAAAATTGTTTCGATATTGGTTGAAAGTGGTCTAAAATTTGTCTCATTTATTTTATTTTAGAAAACAGATATAAGAATAAGAACGGTGGTTTCTCACGAAAGCTTTTAAGAGCGGAATCTGTTGTGCAGCGGTTTGCGGTCAGTCAGAATATTGTTACGACCGGCAAAGTGCTCTGAAAAGTTTATCATATGTTAAATCTTATAGCTGTTGAAGGCAACTTGAAACTTGTAACACCATTTTTTTTATCGGACAGCATTAAAGCGCGTTTTCCCAATTCAGCATCAGGGACCTTTGTTGACGCAATGGAGTTTTTACATACTGTTGTCACTAGCTTTTAGAAGCTACTTTTTTTCAAGCGCCTGTGATAAATTTGCAGCAAGTACGGAAGACATATTCAACGTTGGTTTCACTTGGTTTTTTTTTGTAGGCGTTTCTGCAAAGAAGAAACGACTGGCATGCTATGCGGGACACGGCCACAAAGTGCGGGAACGCAACATAATATAAGCAACCTTAGCTAGAAATTGGTTTTACTTTAATTTTATCCGGTCAAATCGGTAAATAGTAATAGTAGCAGTTGAAATTGATGGAAGTTCATCTCACGAGATAAACAATGGATTTTTTAAATTTGCTTAGCTTGACTATTTATATACTTTGTTTCGGTCAGCTCATTTATAAAGTTATATATTAGCAAAACTAACTGATTTGCCATCTTTTAAGCTTCAGTTTTATGTAATAACAAAATTTTGTTGTTTTAGTTAAACATAAAACTTGTATTCAGTCGGTGACCAATTTAAAAGTGTTCGTAGTGGGATTACGCTTACTTATAATTACTTCGCCGTTATTAATCTGTTTCGCAAACATTTTCGCGTACGTAACGTAACATAAATTTTACAGTATACCCTTAGTGGGGATTCCTTCTCACATCCTCCATACAACAGTTGTTGTAGATTAATTCTTGGAACATCGCCAGAGGATTGCAAATCGCCTTGGACTTAAGAATACTATTCAATACTTTTTCAAAGCTTTTCACAAGAGCTCTAGCTCAGCATAGACGACTGACTATCTAACACATGAAAGCGCTGATAGTGTATAAATACGAGTAGTTCCACTGTTCCACGACAGTCGGGTTCACGTAGTCGAAAGGAACCCGTATATTTATTCGGCCAAAGATAGATTGGCAGCATTGCTTTAAATTACTTCAGGCAGATTTTCTACTACACTACAACAACAAAAACGTATAGTTCCAGGCTTGATCATGTAGATTATTTCCCGCTGTGATTGTGGCCTTTCTGCACATGGTGTCATTTATAGAATATTTCAACTTTAGTAACATACACAACTTAGTTTTAAAATATTTTTTTCTTCCATTATACAAAATTAAAAATATAGTTAATGAATTATATATTGTAAACATAAATACTTACGGTTAGAATAACACTTTTTTTATTTTGGTCGATGCATTGCTTTTAGAAATAAAAAAAATGTATATCTGTCTTTGATCAAACATGGTATTTTTATTTAATTGTTCTTAAAGAATTTTGTTTTTTATTTGCATATTTTTATTTCCACTGACACTAAAAATAAACCTATAACAACTCATATTGGCGAAGATGCATTCTTTGAATTATATCTCGACAATCATTAAACACTCTTTTGATATTTTCCGTATCAACTGCACATGTAAAGTGCGGATAACAGTAGTGTTTGCCATCGCCACTAGCAGTTGAAATACGCTGTAATGAGGCAGAAAAACGTACAGGGGGGAAAATGTATTTTTGAATTTTTATTATTACTTTTACGTATTTTGCTTTAGTGCTTATATGGTGTAGCAGTGTGTATGTATGTATGGCTGTACATATTAATGGGTAATGATTTTAACGAATATAACATTTTAATTATGGGTGTTGTTATAGGACGTGTACACGTTACACCATAATGCAAAACAGTAGGTTAGGTATGAAAAATGGTAGAATGATGGGTAAATAAAAAATAAAAAAAACCGAAAAAGCAGTTATATGAGAAGACATTTTTTTAATGAAATATGTTATTATTGCTATTGTGTTTTTTTTTTAAAGCAGTAGACTAACTGTTAATGTTGCTATAAAAACAAAAACATTCTTTTTATGGATATACGGTTAAATTTTATATATTTTATTTATTACATCAGGTATGCATTGCAATTATTTAAATATACATACTTCTACACTTATATTTATGAAACTAAACAAATTAAAAAAGTTTCTTTATGAATCAATTTATTTATCAAGAACTTAATGATTGCATTCAAGAATAAAGGCTTTTACATTTTTATACGCTGAACAGGATATACAGTTTACCACGAAGTTTTTAACACCCAGAAGGATACATCGGAGACTAAAAAGTATATACATATATAAATGATCAGAATGATGAGCTGAGTCGATTTGGCCATGCGCATCTATCTATCGATCTGTGTAGACACGTGTTAGTCAAAGAGTATTTGAGATATCGATCGGAAATCTTGCGCACGTCGTTTTTTCGCTAAGAAACTGCTCATTTGTCTGAACCGTCAATATCAGACCTCTACAGAATATAGCTGTCATTCAAACTGGACAAACAACATTAAATTCTTTTATGTAACTATTTTATTTCACAAGATATCTTACGATATTTGACTTAATTTGCAAAACAAATTGCTTAGATCGGACTACTATAGCATATAGTTGCCATACAATGTGATCGATCAAAATAAAATCCTTGTATGGGAAACTTTTTATATTTGACAAGATATCTTCACGAAATTTGGCATGGATTATTGTTGTTATTGTTGTTGCATGAGCACAATTCTGCCGAGTTGACAGTCCTTGGACGAATAAAAATCCGGGTCCTCCGTTCCGGTTACGTAGACCCGACTGTCATGGGATTATTGTCCAGGGTAACGGTACAATTTTCGAAGAAGCGGTTCTCATCGGACCAGCATAGTATATATTATATTATACATAACTGCCAAAAAAAAAATGATTGATGCAAATCAAGATAAAGAACTTTTTTTTACCCTTTTATGCTTTAAAAAATGCATCTGTGAAGGGTATTATAGCTTCGTTGCAGCTGAAGTTAACTTTTTTTCTAGTTTCAGAACAGCTGACTTCTTCTTCCCTGGAGTGAATTATATAATCGGTGTTCTTGTATTTGCAATTCGGTAACAAAAAAATGTAGTCCATTTTTATATGAAATAAACGGTAACACTGCTATTATTTATTTATCTTATTTAGTGTAAATAATGAACTTAACGATTTAGAACGAATTCCGTGTGCCAGTCGTTTCTTCTTTCATATACGCCAATCAAGGTATTAATAGTTGTTTGTATACATTGAGACAAAGTAGATTCCTTAAGAACCACCACAGCTGGAGTTTGCCGTTTTAAAGCATTTTTTAAACATCAAACGATTTTAAACCATCGAATGATATATATTCATATGTAGATATATCATATGCATTTCCATGTATTTTATCTAACTTGTTTTTTTTTTTATAAATATGTTGCTATACGAGTACTACTAAAATTTGAATACTTTTTTTTACAAAAGTGGTATATTCGTATATAAAAGTGTAGTGAATTAATTATATTTGGATAGGTTAGGCAATTTGGAAAACATGCAACAATCCGAATGGTTAAAAATAACTGAATATGCTGATGAATTGAGTGTAGGATGATTTAATCTTAATAGAATTAAAATAAAAGCGCGTGAATATTTGTGCATGCATTTGATGTTGAGAAAAATTGCCGAAATCATGGTTGCATTTTCTTATTTAAAAAAGAAAATTGTGTTATTGTTAATTGTCATAGCAATTTAAAAAAAAAAAAACATAATTAATTAAATTGTTTCCATTATTCTTCTCAACAGTGTATGTATGCGTGTTAGTTAATATTTTTGTTTGGCTTACCAAAAATTCATCTCGTATGAAATATTTTGCTCTGATCACTTCTGGGTCATCACCAGATTCTGTTATAGCATCACCTGAATGAACAAAGAGAGAATAATATAATATATTGATAACTGTAAAAATTTAATAAATAATAAATTTATTTCCATAATTTGATTGAATAAATATTTCATACTTTTTGCTATAAATTTCATGTAGCGCAAAACAGTTAAAATTTAATGAATTTGTTAAAAGAAAAATGCTAACAAATAAAATGTCATTATAACAAACTAAACATTATTGTGTGTAAACTGCTTTTAGCATGTTGCTTTAATTCAATTTCAGTCAGCATTTAGATTTGAAAGTAATTTTTTAATATAATTACAACTTTTGCAGTGGAAGCTGCATTTTAATTTATTTCTATTAAATAAGAAATATTGATTAGTATTTTCAAATTCCCACAATTGTGCGATCTTCTGTTACAACAACAAAAGAAAAATTATTTGTATTTCTCTTTATTAACTACAAGTATTAACACAACAATTTTACGTATATATTGATTTATTTGTTTAACTTTTCGTCACACTTACTTGGTGTTTGATACTTGTTAAACTCGGAAAAGTACTCCGACAGTTTACTCTTTCCAGCTTTAATTTTTTCAGCTAATAAATCTTGCTTATTTAAAAATAAAATTACAGAAATTGTGCGTAGCCATCTGAAAATATAGAAAAAGAAATGTTAATTTTGTTAATAATTCAGGCAATTCATATAAAATATGAAATATCGTTAATTACCTGTTATTCCAAATGCTTTTGAACAAGTCCAATGATTCACGGAGACGGTTTTGCGTGGGATCCTCCCGCAATACCATATTGTAGCTGGAACATGCAGTTACAAAAATTATAGCTGTAACATCATTGAAACATTGAATCCATTTACGCCGCTCATCACGTTGGCCTCCAACATCGAACATGCTGTAAAATAAAATTCACATTTGTTATTGTAGTATATTGCAATTAAGGTGTAAATAGACATTGAAACTTACTGAAAATTAACTTTGTCTACTTGAAATCGTGTTTCGAAAATGCCTGAAGTCAAGACACGGCATCTTAAAATATCTTGCTCGCTTGGTGTATAATCTGGTTTCTTTATTATGCTTACTCGATCCAAAAAACTTGAAATCAGAAAAAAATTTGATTTTTAGCATAGATTAAGCATTTTACATGGTATGAAAATATATATATATATATAATATGATAAAATAATATATCGTTACGCAATTTCAATTGTATTAAAATTGTCTAATTAAATCATTCTGGTCTGTTAAATTATATGGTTCAAAATTATATGTAAATCAAAGCACACTCACTATTTTGCGCAGTCAATCAGTTGATATTCATTTGATCTTTCAAATGTTTGCAATACTCCTCGATCTTTCCATAGTTCCTCTGTATGCTCATAAAATTCCGGAGGATAGTTAAAATCGGGACCTAGAAAAAAATTTCGAAAAACGTTTTATTGCGTATTTACAAATATATAGTTTTATACACTATATTTTTTTATACATATAAATTCTTTTCAAGGTCGAAAAGATCATTGTATTGTATTTTTAAACGATCAAGTTATGTTTAAAATAATTAATTTACATTCGGCTAGTTTAAAATATATTTATTTTCAAAAGTATGTCATTATTCAAAATGAAATTCGCGTAGAATACACACTTCTTAGACAGTTGAATAAATTCTATAAGGTTTATTTTAAGAGTTTTCTAAAAATAGATTCCGGAAAAACAAAGTTAATCTGCATATAGTTTAGACATTAGCAGAGTTCAAAATAAATTTTAATTGTATTAATGGCATGAACAAATGTTTATTTCAAGCAATTAAAGAAATCTCTAAGTGGTCGACTGAAAACCATTTAACTTTTTTTAAACTGCTAACAATATACAAACTAGCTTATACGTATATATGTATATTGACATGCATTTAAAAAAATAATAAATCTTACTGGAAGCGTAATCCTGGATGTATTCAACCCTTGCCTCATTATCCTTCTTTTCTAATGATACAGGTGGATTTAGTGTGCTCATTGCACCAGTAATTGTCTGAAAGTTAGAAGTTAAAACGGTTAATCGATTTATATTTATGCACATACGTTAATATCTGTATGTATGTATATTTGTCAGTTATAAAAAATATAAATCTGTTTACTCTTAGGCAATTGTCATTGCTTACCAGGATTGCATCGCGTATATTTTTCTTAATATCATCGACTTTTTGCTTTTTCTCTGGCTCGGAAAATCCATCAACATGCAATATGCGCATTTGCTTGACAATAGTCGATTTGCCCGACTCACCAGCTCCTAGCAATAGTAGTCGATGGGTAGCACGATATAGTTGCTTATCCTTTTGTAGCTGCTTTGATATTGCATCACTGCGACGCTTTTGACTTTTGGAGTCTTCTGAATTTACATCCGTTTGTTTGGAACTGGGTGACCCGAAGCAACCCATTGCCGTCCAAGGTGTCCACCAACACGCTGCTCTGTTCTCTTGCGCCCCGTCGGGAGACTCCGCCTCCCTATTACCTCCGTTTTGAGCCAGTCTAATTAGCTCAAAGATCAAGAAGCGCCTTTAAGATATGTGCGTCGCTTTACTGTTTTATTTTAGTGATATATTTCCAAAAATTTGTGCTTTTATGCGTTACTTATTTTGAACTCTCTTTTGTTAAGTTTTGTGTACAATAATGTGCGTGCAGTTCCCAACCTATTGCGTTTCTATAAAATTTCCAAAAAAATAAGAAGCGTATTAAATATTTTGTATGTTTTCATTTAATTTATGGATAAATGTTTGATTTTTGTTTAAAGTACTAACTAATAAGAAAGTAAAGTAAAATTGAGAAAAAATCACCTGTTGGTCGATTGAACAATAAATATGCTTTGAATATGTACATAGAGCCATTAGTTAAAAGACTTTTTATAAGGCTGAGAAGTTATATGTAAAATAGACTTTTTATGCAAGAAACGGCAACGCTGGTCCAACTATACCTAATAACAAAACTGTTGGTCTTATTAGAACGTGTCATAATGGATTTTATATAGGTCAATATTTCCAAGCAATTTAACATGATTTTTTTGATATGAAAATAGTTTTTTTAGGCTAATAGTTACATACATACATATAGAGTTTGAAATTTTGTTGCTAATCTTTAGCAATTCAATTTATCCATTTTATTTTATAGTATTTTTATCATAGGACACATGTATATGAGTGTATGTTTGTTTTTCACACACACATAGCTGCTTATATTTTTAAGTATATACATATGTACATACAGACATCTGCTCATACATATAATTTATTTATATTATTAACCTGTCTTTGAAATCTTGATATCAGCTGTGTCTATCGTTCAATCTACTACTGAATATACTTCTCTTTATTTTGTGGATCAAACTAAAAAAAACTTATTCCCACTTCATAATCTCTACCTCCTGCTCATCCCTTGCAAATGTGTTTTTCTTCTCACTACTGTATATAAAAAACGTATGTCTGCGGCGCAGCATACTTTTGGAATATACATACATACATATGTATACTTTTGTTTTCCATATATGTTTTTAGAATCTCGGAAAAGTGGCGATTACGAATAAAAAAATTTGCTAAAATTATATTTTCACATTTGAAATAAAACATTTTGACTCAACAAGTTTTTTCACCCTTTTTCACTTGAATAAAAGTATAATGTAAAGCAGCTAGGATGAAGCTAATGAATTTTTAGCGAGGAGCACTGTGTCTCATATTAAAACTTATATGTATGCATGTATATAAATATGTATATAAAAAAGTGATCTGCTCATATTGTACTTTCTTTGGATACCTAAAATATGTAGTTTTAGAAAAAGATGCCACATTCATTAAATCAATTCGCTATCGAACAATATATTTTCACGCACTTAAAAAAATTATATATATTTATAAATTTAGAGTACGACTCCCAAGAATACGGTTTTTTTGCACAAATGCTGAAAATCTAGGCGTGGTATGCAAAATTTCACCCTCGGGCAAGTTTCGAGTATATCCCATCGAAAAAATCAACATACGGTTTATATTTTCACTTTCGCGCATGTAATATGCACATTGCAAAACACTTTTTCCATTTATATAGGAGTTATTACTGACATTGTCCAATTTTATGTATCGTATAAGAAAATATATACGCGAATATCTACTACACTGGCATTCATACATACAATTATGTGTATTTCCAGCAAATAAACGCTCTGTACAATTACTATGTGTTACATTACAAAATATAGTTTTCACTTTTTATAGCTATACAGCTGAAATATACCTAAAACTGATTTTTTTATCAGTATAATTTTATCACTTTTAAGAACTCACTTTGCACTATTTTAGTGATGTGCGATACTTGATTATCGAAAAGCTATCACTTATTCAAGTAGTTACTCCAAAAGGAAAAATGAGATGCCAGACAATTAGGAATACCAAAATATTTGTATGCGAGGAAAATTCCGATTGGATTTTCACAAAATGAAGAGATTCGATATGGAAATATGGTAAATTTACAAATTTATGAATTGTATAGGTTAAGTTTCAAATTAAATTATTTATTAACGATTATTTTCTAATTCCTTACCGTTTCTATGGCGTTAAAATTACTTTATTTACATGATAATTCGACCTTATTCTTGTGTTTATACTTATATAATTTATTAATAATATCTCATATTGCACTCAAAATACTAAATACAAAATCCAGACAAAGCTTAAATGCATAATGAATGGGATTTATTTTCAAGCATTCAAAGGCTTTTCATACCTACCGCCACCAAATTCATGTTTTTATAATATGACATAAAACCAACAAATTTTAATACAACACCCTTTATTTCCTTATTTATTTTCATTTGAGAACATTCCTATTAATTACATACATAAATTCATATATAATTAATTAAATATTATCTAGAGTTTTTTTTGATAGTACAACTACAATATCTACTAGCCAATAAAATGATTGCCTTAAATCGCCTTCACAGAGATAAGGTGCTTTAGTCCAAGCTTCAACGCGAAATCCCATACTCTCTAGTAATTGAAAAAACTCAACAGCTTCCGCCTCAAAACTCAATTGTTGTGATCGCTCTGGCCAGTTTTTAAGTAAAGGACGTAGTGGCATATGGGACGAATTCATTTCTACATAATGTACATAGGGTAAAACAAGAGCTAAAAGCACACGTCCATTTGGCGCTAATGCTTTATAAATATCTTCTAAAAGATCTATTGGATCAATGCAGCGATCTAATACGTTTAAGCATGATATCAGTTGGACATTTTGTACTTCGTTTATGCGTTCAAGAATACTAAAGTTTCTACTTTTTAATCGTTCACGCATTGTCCAACTGGTCTCTGTGGCAAATGTATGAATCTTACACTGTGGATGCAAGTTCTGCATAGATTTAATCAAACGCATGGTTATTTCACCATCACCAGCACCAATATCCAAACAATGTACCTATGAATTCAATTGTTAATATTTAAATTAAGTTCAGAACTATTTAAGCAAAGCGATATTTACGGTATCATATGATTCAACGTCGAAGCCGCCAGAAATAAGTAGTCTTCCAAACTGCTGTTCCGATAATATAAACATAGAACCACGATTCAAATAGCCATTTATGTCAGTCTGCGTCATAAAAAATTGTAAAACTACCCGTGCCACAGCGTGCCAGATGTGAAGCCAAATATTTGTCGAAAGAACTTTGGCATGTTCCAGCCAACGCATGGTTGATTCATCTGGCTGAAGCAGTGGTACGAATTTGTTTTGGAATTTCGGAGGTAGTTCATGATTAGTTGTATACCACTAAAATGACAATGGTTATATTTAGATATAATTATTGACTATTTGAACAATAAACTACATATAAATATACATACATACATACATATAGTAAGCTAATGGCTTAATTTTAAAAATGAAAATAGAAACTAATCCAACAAGTGTCCCTTTTTCGTTATCATATTTTTTGTTTTTGTTTTAATAACTTATCTCTTGATATCTTATTACAACATTTTACTTATGTAAGCACAATTTGACAAAAGTATAATATGAACCAATAGTAAACAAATGTTATTGCAATACACTTATGAACTTATTTACTATAATTCAATATTTTAAAAGCATGTGTTTGTTTGAAAGCAATGCGATAATGTAATACTGATCTGAGCATAAATTTGCTTCCATATTGTGCATGTTTTCTTTCAGCTTTTTGCTGATATAAATATTATTTTAAACAAATTCTAGGTAACACATGTATTATTACATATGCTCACTTCACACACATTACTACCAACATATTTGACTAAACAAATTGTTTGATTAAGTCTCACACCGGTTTTACTTACAAGTCTGGTGTCAAGTTCTTCCAAAGAGCGATCATTGTGATATTTTTGAAAGATGGCCCGGGCTAGGGTTCCCCGTGGACGATAACAGTTCATTATAAAATAAATTCGTGTTAATTAAATGAGTGATACGATGACCGGAAATATGTGCGACGTTCTGCGTTGGTTAGTATTGATTTTTTTTTCAGGAACAATTTTCTGCCATTTCAAGCCAATTATTAATAGTTCGCGCTTGCCCACATCCTTTACACCCACTTGGTGTTAATTAAACTAAACTTTGCTATATTTTAAACATTTATAAAAAAAATAAATGGTTGACTGCTATATGAAATGATAACACAGTTTTTAAATAATTGTAGGAACAAATTAAGAACATTGACAATAGGGTGACTCCAATAATTTAATAAATTTAATAACTTTACTATTTCAAGAGCAGTCTTACTTGCTCAATTCATAAGCAATTCTTTATTAAAGCGCCAATAACCATATATTTGAAAATTTGTGAAAAAATTATGTATATATTTAGTTTACTATACCAAAAAACATAAACGGTGTGCTGCGCTTGCCGCAGAATGAAATGCTGAGCTTCTGAAGGTGAGTAAAAGCAATTTCGAAAAGAAAAGCTCAAGAATCGCGTGGCACCGCGTATCGTTATTGGAATTATCTAAATTATATACAAAAATATATGTGATGAAAAATGTATCCGCCCCGAGAAATTCGAAAATTTTGAGTAATTAAAACGAAGTATTTACACATGTACACAATTAGTATTATATTTACATATATATTTTCGCTATAATCTTATAAAAATATTTACAAAACCAACAAATAAGTTACAGTAGTTAGTAAGCGTAAGGAGTTTTAAAATCTAATAACTAAATTTTTCATAAGTAACAAGTGCTATTAAAACAGTTAATAATAGATGACTCCATTCAGGCCTTCTAAAGGACATACTACCTGAAATTATATTCGTTGTTAAGTTAAAAGATAAACCGTTAAACATAGAAACGCATTGGTATTCATCGGTGCTATCGTCATCTGTTCTTATAACGGCAGTTGCGCTAACTTGGAATTTACCATCACTAAGCACATTTGCATCGCTTGCAATAATTTGAATTTGCTCGCCACCGAAGGTCCTGCGAAACAATTTAAAAATTCCATTAATTAATTTCAAAATAGAAAGTAAATTAATTGTCACTCACTGGATGGCCAACGTGGGTTTGGGATATACATTCTCGATTTCACATTCCAAATGTGTTTCATTTTGAATACGCTTATGCTTGAGTGTGTGTGTATAATTTTGTATATCAATTATATGCAATTCTTTATCCATAGATATTGTTTTCTTATCCGTTTGAATATTACACTTGTATGTACCAGATGTCTCAATCGATGGATTTAGCAGTAGTATGCCACTTTCTTCATCATTCGGCTCGGACGATAAGGATTCAACTTCACCTCTGAATTCTGGCTACAATTTTATTTAATAAAAAACAAAAATATCAATTATTTATGCATTTATAAAGTAATATTTATGTCTTACGATGACGTTTGCCCCATGTCCTTTGATGTATTGGAAAACCACATTATTATCTTTGGTCCATTTGACAACGAGCGAATTACTTTCTTCTTCCACTTTAAAGTGACAATTCATTGGTATCGAGCCCACATTTTCATCCTCGATAACAACCAGTGAGGGTCCTTCGATTTCCGTTAATACTAGGCAGTTGACTTCTGTAAATATGCAATTTGGAAACATTTTGAAAACACATGGAACACAAATGGAATGCGGCAAAAGGCAAGAAGTTGCTTTTTGAAACGAATAACGCGAATAACGAGAAAATACTTTATTTAGAATTCACATCATGCAAATTATTTTTCTTTAGCTCAGTATGATCTGTTTGTGGGTAACGAAATTCGCAAATTGCAAAGAATATTCGGAGATTTGTAACTACTTAGTGTTTCGAAATGCTGTTATGGTCGCTAAAGATCAAATCGCTTGTCTAACATTGGGTTAACCACAAGTTGAAAGAGTATTACCGGTGAAAAATATTCAATTATTTAAAAAAGTTTGTTTGTAAATATGTACATAGTATATCTATGTATATGCGTTCTCTCTCTCTTTTTGATCACAATTTGGCAACGGACAAACAGTGTACGAAAGCAGACGGCGCTGTCGCCTTCTCTATAAAGTCGTCAAATAATAGAGCGCGCTAAAATGTATATATGTGTATGCATGTATATTTAAATATGATCGAATTGAAATCTTAAACACATAAAAAATGTATAGATCAAAAATATAGGAAATTGTTGTATGAAAAGTAGAGATATTCGCACAAACACTATTAATATTTTATATTTCGGCCAACACCCAGCAAAATATAGGCGCCCATATATACAAACATACACAATTAGAAATTCTTCTTATTTAATATTTATAAAATTATATTTACTAAAAATAATTTTTTTTTTATAGGAATTAGAATGCATTCTTGTAAGTGAAAGTTGGAATTAAAAATATGAGTTAGTTGGCATATTTTATTAGAAGCTAGTTATATGAGTATATAGTAAATACATATAAAATTGTGCGAAAAAAAAGGTTGAATAAAAAAAACAATAATTAATTAAAGTTCAAGAAACAAATAAGTTTTTTTGGAAATAAATTGTAGAAAAAATTTGTTTATAAAATGTAAACATTGAGTAGCTTTCAAACTGTGCTTAAAAATTGTTTGCTTATTGTCTATTTTATTAATATAATTTTCATATATAAAATAGTTTGGTGTACTCTATACAAACGTATATAAATGAATGAACGCGTAATTTCACTTCATATATTCGTTTTAAAAAAACAAAAAGATTTAAAACAAAGTGACATTTCGACTAGACATTTGCTGGCTTCAAATTTTTATTATTTACATATGTTTAATCATACATTTTTTATTTCGTTTGTTGTTTTAGTTTCTAAACAGTTTTTTAGTTTATTTATTTTTTAGCTTTAAAAATTAGTTTATTGAAA